ACACCTAAGTCATGATATGAGCGAACATGTAACATAAGGTCAAACGAACGACTCTTACCCCGAGAGTGCAAATAACCTAGGGCGTTGGATAAGCCCTGTCTCGGATTCATGGTATATCCTTGAGTAGTCCTCCCCCTGTAAAGCTTCCGAATCGTGTTGACGAATTTCTGCAAAGGCTCCTGGCCAAGATAATCAAGCCGCGTCTCATCCATGCATGAAGTGTACAGTATACGGATCTTGTGAAGTAGTTGATCATCCCACGCATTGTCTTGGATAGATGAGTCGCCCTCAAGTAATTTGAGAATAACGTGTGCGTTCTGTTCTGAAAGAACCGAAAAGGAATTGATGGCACCCTTGTCACCCGGAACGGGGTGCGATGCTATCCAACCACCGTCTGATATTGTAATTAAGCCATGCAGCAGACACGATACAAAACCACGTGCTAACTTACTTGCAAAGTCATAGAAATTTTCGCAAGGGTCTTGCGATGTGTCCAGGGAAGATAGAATGGAAGCAGCCAAAATAATGCAACTCGGAGTAAGGCACTTATCCTGTAAATGGTGAGGAATAGTTCGATAACATGTAGATAGACCTACCGATGGAGGCACCGGGCTGGGATTCTCGGGAGGTCCTGTGGGTTCTGGCCCAACGATCACCGTGTGCGTGTGAACATCTGTCGTTGTGTAAGTGGAAGTAGATACTGAGGTAGAAACTGATGTTTTTGTGGAAGTAGTTGTCGCAATTCTGGTCGCCGTGGTTGTGCCGAAGACTGTAGAAAGTTTCGTAGACACCGCAGTAGTGGTAGTCACAATACCAGAGATTTTTGTCGATGCAGCAGTAGTTGTGTGAGTCACTGTAGCTGTTGCGGTCTCGGTCAGGGTGATACTACCTCCACCTCTGTCTCCATCTCCACCGCCAGGGATACCATGTCGCAGGTTCAGTTTATGTTGTGCACCAGCGAATAGGCCAATAAAGACGGAACTTATGAGTAGCAATATGAGAACTTCAACAAGTAGCACTTTAGTGAGACCAGTGAGCGGTTCTTGGACGACGTCAGCAATCCTTCGGGACATAGATGGGTGGGGTGACTGGGCGCTTTGTGGAGGATCATCATCTCCACCTCGTAAAAGAGGTGCAGACTCTGTTCTCGAAGTAAGCAACAAGCGTGGATAATACTCGACCAACTAGAATCATACCTTGGTCAGTTGAGGGCCTTGGCTCGTACGCCATGGCGACTGAGAGTGTAGCCAACAAACGACGCAGGGACGGTCTTTAAGTACCTCGTGGATGCGTGCTAAACACGCGGCTAGAAATCTATTATATCCGTTCGGCAACCGGTCGAAACACTGTGACAGACCCACGGTGTGACGGCACGTGTTAACAATACGCGACGCGTCGCGTACGATGATTAACGTCTGTTTCGAACCCGAAGAGATTAGTCGTTCTCCCCACACTTCTTCAGTTTTATGGTCTTTCTTCCGCCACCGCACCTCGCATCTGCCTCACGACCTGCCTATGCTGAGGCCTACGCAAATATACTGGTAGCGCACCGCCGCTCCCCGCTCACATCTGCTTCGTCTGTCATAATCCTCGTCGCTCCTGATGTAGATGCCTTGTGTGCAGCGAAAATACTTGCGGAACTTCTCAAGCAGGATGATGTTATGCACAGAATAATCCCTGTTTCGGGTCTAGCTGACCTTGAACGAATGAAAGACGAGTTAGTCACATATGCGGAGGTGTGTCTATTGTCATCAAAGGTGCACCAGCTAGCTGAATACTCGGAAGCTACACACACTCATTCTGTTAAACATGGGTGCTATTCTTGACCTCTCATCCGAGAATTGGTTCGGCCAATTCAGCATGAAGCTCACGGTGCACATTATAGACTCAAACCGGCCACAGAACCTTGCAAACATGTTTGCTGGAGGTGAGAATGGCGAGAGATTTGTCGTATGGGATGACGGTGAAGCAGAGAATATGGGAGAGGAACGAAAGGCTTGGGAAGCTCTAACGGTGAATATGATGATCACTACACTGCGGACCCTGCTGACTTGAATGTAGTACGAACCCGAACCCGACTCTGATGAAGACTCGGAGTTGGACGATCAAGATGAGGTGCAATCAAATGAAGATGATGATCCTGACGATGGTGAAGAATTCTCTGAGCGAGGCCCTTCGGGCAAGAGGAGATCATTGGGAGACGGTGATCGAAGTCAAGAGAAGCGGCGGAAACTGGACGATGTGAGTCATTATCCAACCTTTACCCAATACATAGTCGCTTTAACATGATTAAGCAGTCCACTCGGCTGTCGCGAGAACAACGCGACGCATATCACGAACTTATCGCCAAATACTATGGGAGTGGGTCGTGGTATGGTCAAAGTGCGTCTGCAACAATGTACATTCTTGCCACTGTTCTTGAACGAGTGGACTGTGATTTTCTCTGGTAAACCCCTTGTTGATCTCCCATGGCTTGATTTACGACATCGTCCTTCAGGCTTGCGATCCTTGGACTTACGTTCCAGTATACCACCGCTCGAATATCCCGCGACACCTATGACAAATACCATTCAATATATTACGACGAGGTTTTCCGCCTGAACCCGCTGCCGCCAGATGTTGCTGCTAATACGACAGATGCCATCACAGCCATGAGCCCAGACGATCTATCTGTACGGGCAGCTGAAGAGTTGCGTTTTATGCTTTTCCGACATTGGACACTGTACGATGCAATGTACCACTCAAGCTATGTCGCGGGCAAACTTGGCATATGGAAAGAGCGTGGACGGAAGCGCCTCACCGGGCTACTCGCAAAGATGGGGTACACTTTCCTGTATCCTTTATTTGTCACGGCTGAAACTCTTCCTCTGTAGTTTCTCTATCCCGCAGACGCAGCAGCCCTATGCGCACATGGATCTAGACTTGAAGCACCAGCTGCGCGCGAAACTCGACTCAATCGCACCGGAATACGGCCTTGTTGAGTTAACTTATCCGTCTTTTGCAAGATGCTTTGGATACCGCGCTTCCCCTCTCAGTGCAGCGGATGCTGTGGAAGCAGTAGGCGCATTGCTCGACGTTGCAGGTGGCATCAGGATGGAGGTCGAGGTTGAAGGCGCACGGCACGGGGGTGAGTGGTTCGGTGGCGGGAGATTATGGGAAGGAGGGCGGAACGGAGAGGAGAAGCGGGAGAAACGGATAGAAGTTGGTAGCAGACAAAAGGATGGGGATGACGATGTAGACACGGATGTTAACGGCGAAGAGCGGAAAGAAAGGACATGGTGGGTGAAGAATTTTTGGGCTGCTTATGATGCTCTGTCAGAGTACGTGCTCGCTCCTCTCGTTGACATGTGTTCCGGAATAACTGTGTTTAGCATTGTACCCCTGAGAGATGCTTTGTCGCTTGCAATGTCGCTTCATCGTGCTATTATTCGGCAAGGGACGTCGATAATAGATAAGCAGGATATTCGAACGATGCGCTCCCATCGTGTCGTGGTGCTCTCAAAAGGGCCTGATCTTGCTCTATTCGCCCATCCTGGGGTTCTCGCACGCCTAGGACTTTGGCTAGTAGATGCGCTTCGTGACCGTCTCCCAGGGACAAAAATCGGCGGTCTCAAAGGAAGAGGAAAGAAGTCGCTCCCATTTGTTGTCGCTTGTCTAAATGAAAGGACGCAGACGTATGTTGTAGTCGGTATCATGGGGGCGCTTGACTTTGGGGACGTCAGGAGAAAGTAAGTCATACGTTCGCCCCTTCTTGTTAGTATCAACATCATGGTTCATCCCACTTCAGCGAGTTTGGTCTAGCATTCATTGAAGCAAAGCAACGCTGCAATGCACGGTCACGCCACAGTACCTTTGATGCAAGTGTGCTCGAAATCGAGCAAGAGGACCTGAAATTGTTCTTGGAGACCTTATGTGAAGTCGGGGAAGGGTATTGACATTCTCAGGTAGTTTTTTTGCATGTTGTTATCCTTGCCAAGCTCTCTTATATCATATTTGCATCAATAAACATGTTGTACTCTCTCAATGTGACCCAATAAAGCAGTACAATAAAATGAGCTCTACGAGTACCTTTATTTGCCTCAGTTCCACTAAATAGGGAACCCAAATCCCCAAGTAATCACAATCAATTTTCGCTAGTGGCCGCAAGCACTACATATCTATGATAGTTAATAGCGCGCAATGATTTAAAAGAATCGTACGATGGAGCCACTAGAAGTGATTCTTCATCACCGTGTGTCGCTGCGGTGTTGCATTGATATCGGATAGGTCCGGGCGTGTGGCGTGAAATATGTCCTAAGTTATCAGCCGCAGATCAGTATGATTGGCATCTCAGCGGTATGCAATCTGTCAGAACCTGTATCAATGAAAAACTGCGGAGAAGATCGTTGCTCCCTGACAACATTTCGAAATACGGATATTGGGTATACCGTTAACTTACCTTCCTTCCAAGCCGCGAAATGCCCTTAGGCACAAGGTGGTGAAAAGAGTGTACTTGGGCAGGTCTGAGCTAGCAGTTATCACATAAGTCTGAGTATTGACTCGGAGAATACTAACATTGGATTAACGTAAGAAAGAGACGCCAAACCGTCTTTGCCAAAGGTGCCACTCCTGCTGGACTTCGGCGAATGGTCCTCCTGGTGTACTTGTGGTTCGTGAAACTCTTTGGACAGACGTGAGCAGTGAACCTCCATGGTTTGAAGGATGTGGGTGACCGTATTCTGACTCGCTGGCCAAGGTGACTGACTACCGACCATGGACCGCACCCAGAGGATATGTGACCCATGGAGGCCCAAAACTAAAGCACGAAATGGACGATGTCCGGATCAGTATCATTGTCACTGTAGAAGATCAAAATTTTATTCAATGTTCGGTATACTACCGTAATAAATTACAACAATGCTACACGCTTTTCAAGTACTCGAGGATCAATCCGGAAGCACCCGGCCGGGCTTCGGGCGTTATTGAGTAATGATTGGGCATGCGGAACGGGCGCTTTCTAGGCTTGCTGCAATCGACCACAGCAAGCGACAATTCTTGCTACCTCCTCTTTTTCGTCCTCATCGTCATCGACGACGTCGACAAACATTATTTACATCGTCCAAGTCGTCAAGCCCATTCGACCGACTAGAATTAGTAACTGACCCCTAGTGCTCAAACTTCTCACTGTAGTCAGTTACTGATCGAATTGATCGCGATGCCAGCGCCAGTAGCGATGTACGTCGTTGCAGCTATCGCAGGTGCTGCTGCTGTTTTTGCTTTTAATGAGGTGACTTCCTGTTTTATGTCTACAAAAATCCTATTTCGTCCTCGCCCGTTTTCAAACACACCCTTCTAATATACTCTTCAGTTCGTCTTCGAACCTCACATCGCCCCTGCCATAGAGCGTTGGGCAGAGGACTTCATTGCCAGGCGTCGTGCTCGACGCGAAGGTGCTGTTCCTGTGCCATCCACCAGAGGATCTGGGGATGGAGACTCGGGTCCCAGACGTGCTGATCCGAAGAACAGGGCTCCTGCGAGAGAAGAAGATCCCATCGAACTGGAAGGCCTCAACCTCGGCCTCGTCGACGAATGGCGAAATAATGTACATCACACCGCCCAAGGCACGGGTGTGAGGCGGAGAGTCAGAGTAGTTCCTGATACAGAAGGGAGCATATCCACCTCAATAGATGATGTATTTCTTCCATTTCCCTTGTATCGCATCCTCTCGAATACTAATAAAACATGTACAGTCCTTTCCATCCCTCACGCACACTCCGCTCGCACCCACTCACGTCATCTCCAACGTCTCCTCCCCTTTCACAGAAACGCTAACTGTATCTACCAGCACGCCCAACCGTGCTCACTCTCGAGCCTCTTCCCACACCGCAAGTGACGATAACACTACTATTTTTTTCGCCCCATCTTCCCAGTCTTCTTCTCCCCCTCCTAGCCCGCCATTTGGCCCCATCCTCCCCGACACTCCCCGCACAAGCGCTGCCTACACCGCCCGCCCATTTTCCCCGGTTGTGCGCACGCCCGTGCGCTCCCGCACACAGTCGAGCTGGTCTTTGCACCACTCGGATAGGAATTCGCGTGTTAGGATGAATGTGCAAGGCAGACGTGTAGACGTCGGCGTCGAGGACGAACATGACAATATCAATATCAACAGCAACACCAGTGCGAGTATGCACGAGAATATGAGCGGGAACATCAGCGTTGTGGAATCACTATCAGAACGTTACCCCGCTGCGCCCACTCCGCCTGTCTTGCTCTCCCCGCCTTTATCACACAGTGTCCTCTCCTCCCCAAATACAGACATCCTGAGCCTTGGGAGCAGTGGTAGCCGCTCTGGCTCACCATTCGCCGTACTCTCCCCACCCGAGCAGCGCGCGTCGCTCTCAGGTGCTGCGAGCTCTCTGTCGCCCTCGATAACGAGCGAGGATGAGTTTATGTCGTTCGGCGAGGAGTCAGACGCGGATGGGGAAGAAATGCCGGTGCCGCGAAGCGGAAGTACGCGTTTGCATAACCCTTTTTCAGACTTTGAAGAGGGGAGTGATTTTGATAGTGGCAGTGAGGGGAGCTGGGGCCGGGTGAGTGCTAGTCGGGGCTGATCCGATCACGTCCTCTTGCCGGATTATCAGAACTGGAACGATGGTCAAATAGCGCACGTGTGGTATCGGGGGAGGGTTCTACTCAGTATACACGGGGTTTGTTAGTGCAGTATTTATGTGTTCTTTTCCCTTTGTCTCTCTATCTGGTTCTCTATTTTGCTCTCGTTTTGTACTCGTCTTGTTCTGTCGCTCTCATAAATTTATGTTGTACATCATTCCACATTTCGAACACTACATGCAAATCAGATTCGTGTGAACGTTAAGTCATTGGGATGATACCAAGAGCTATGTTATAAAATCATTATAGGGCACTGCATTACCTAATGGTTTTGTTTGACTGGACGCCGACCTTGACAAGCATCTCAGATGCATTGTCGCAAAGCAGGTAGTATTCTCCAGCTCACACAGCGGAGGTGTGCATCAACAGCAACTAAAGTTAAGGTGGGCACCACTATTTGTTCCATGACATGGTCATAACCTTTTCGCTAGCCATCGGAATGGCTCCCCGTTGATCCTGTTCTTCCTCCACAGCCAACCCTGAGTAAATGGGTCAGAGCAAAAACGACACCCCTTCATCACGACTGTAATGACTTCCGAGGCGCGTCTTTACGTGCTGGAAATACGCCCTCCGCTTCAAAATGGGCTCGTCCTGCAACTCCTCGATCACAACCTGGCATGAAAAAAGTGGCCGTTAATGTACACTCTCGTCCCGCAACTCCTCGATCGCGACCTGGCAGGAAAAAAGTAGCCGTTAACGTATACATTCCTACGACAGTTTCCGTTGGTCAACTAGCAAGATTATTAAATGTGCGGCAGAGTAAGTTACCGATGCCTTTATGAGGGTTACCTGGACTCAACAATTGCAGCACTACTTCAACGCAAGATGGTCGACGCGGGGATGGAAGCTGAGGCGTCATATGATCATGGTCCCGCTCCTTGCACCCCTTTCCCGCCGAATTACTGATGCTTTACTGTAGTGTTGACGTCTGATTATGCTGCCCTTCTTGCAGAAGAATTTGGCCGCAATCCTATCATTAATGATGAAGCTGCTTTTGATATATATCCCCCGTACGTAGTCTGAGATATCTGATGTGCTTGTATACTCATGCAACCTTCAGTGCTCCACATCCTGACCCAACTGCCCTTCCCACACGCCCACCTATCATCACTATTATGGGTCACGTTGACCACGGTAAAACTACTCTTCTAGATACCCTTCGTTCAGCATCTGTTGCTGATAATGAGGCTGGTGGTATTACGCAGCATATTGGTGCCTTCTCGGTCCCTGTCAAGGGATCCTCTAGTGGCACAATTACATTTCTTGATACACCCGGACATGCTGCTTTTTCTGCAATGCGCTCACGCGGTGCTAGTGTTACGGACATGGTCGTCCTTGTCGTTGCAGCGGATGACGGTGTTATGCCTCAGACAAAAGAGGTTATCAGGCTTATCAAGGGGGAGCAAGGCAAGGTTGGGGTCGTTGTGGCTATCAACAAGGTTGATAAACCAGAAGCGGATGTGGTGGGTATTTTCTGGGTCGTCTTGTTATGGTAGCTTAACGGAAGGGGGACTGCAGGAAAAAGTTCAACATGCACTCCTTGCTGAGGGCCTCCAGCTGGAGGCATTTGGGGGAGACATTCCATCCGTTGAAGTGTCCGGATTGACAGGACATGGACTGACTGATCTAACAGACACCCTGTCATTGATGGCCGAGGTACAGGATTTGCGCGCAGAGCAAGATGGGCCAGCCTATGGGCATGTCATTGAATCGAAGATGCACAAAGGTCTCGGGTAGGTTCAGAAGCGTGTTTCGTGCTAGATTGACCGCCCATTCATTTGCAGGCCCACTGCGACAGTTCTGGTCTTACGTGGATGTTTAACTCCCGGTGCTCACATCCTGGCAGGCACATCTTCCGGGAAAGTCCGTCTGATGTCGAATTCATCTGGTGCAACTGTCAAGGCTGCATATCCTGGAATGGCGGTCACCGTCTCTGGGTGGCGATCACTTCCGGGTGCAGGTGATGAAGTTGTGCAAGGTAGCGAGGGCGACGTAAAGAAAGCTCTTGCAAATAGAATTAGGAAAAAGGAAGTGGAAACGGTTTTAATTGACGCGGAGGCAATTAATATTGCACGCGCTGCAGAACGCGAAAGAGTCCGGAGGAAAGAGGATAAGAGTCAAGATATGAGGAATATATTAGATGGCGGTCCTAAAGAGCTCCGGCTGGTGATCAAAGGTGATGTAAGCGGGAGTGTCGAGGCCGTTGTGGGCGCGCTGGAAGGGATCGGGAATGAAAAGGCTCGTGTCAAGGTCGTATCCACAGGAGTGGGCGATGTCACGGAGGGCGATGTGATGATGGCCAAAGCTGCTGAGGGTAAGGACCCCGATTTATGTGGGGCCCAGATGCTGATACTGCGCATATAGGCATAATCGTTTCCTTCTCGGTCAAAATTCCACGTTCAGTGGAGACTACTGCGGCACAGAACCATGTCCCAATTTACTCATCCAAAATCATCTATCGGATCATGGACGAGGTCCGAGACCGCGTCACCGCATTGCTACCTTGCACCTATGAGACCAAAGTTACTGGGGAGGCAACTGTTTTACAACTTTTCGATATTCACCTCAAAGGGAAGATGACCAAGAAGATTGCAGGTTGCAGAGTCAGTAATGGCACCATCGAGAAGTCGAAAGGGGCTCGAGTTGTTCGCAATGGTCAAGTAATCCATGAGGGTGTCCTCGATGCACTTAAGCAGCACAAGAAGGATTTGCTGGAGGTGAAGAAAGGTACTGAATGCGGGATCAGTCTGCAGGACTATGAGGAATTGCGCAACGGCGACTTGATACAGATGTATCAAACGATTGAAATACCCGGCGTATTATGATCCGGGATGTTTCAAAGTTGAGACTATGGTATTTTTATCTTTACACTAGAATTTTAGACTAGACTTTTCCCATTGATCCCCCTCAATCTTCTAATTGACTCTATTTGTATTTTGCTCATCAAGCACTAGATCTTTGCTCCCAATGGTACCCGTTCGGCCACCTACACCGAAAGTCAAACTGATGTTGCCAAGATCACGAGTTGTCTTTTCGAGCAAAGTCCAACTCCTGGTATCAAGTTTCTTGAGGACCACTTCGACCTTCGTATTATAGAATTTGTACGAAGACCCATCGGGATTCACTGGACCGAAAAGAACGATTGTACGGCGGAAGCGCTTGGGTCCAGGGAGATAGAGGTCCAAGTGAATTTGATTGTCCTCTATCGCAACAGTGCTCTTTTCCTTGTCCACTTGTTTGGCAAACACAGAGATGTGGACCTCCTTTGGTGTTTGATAATGGTCGACACGGCAGTCAGTAAACTGCTCCACCTAAAATGACACATTAAATCCAGTCCTTCAAGTGATAAAGTGACAGAGAGAGAGCAAACCTGAAGTTCTGTACGCTGCTTGGGTGCAAACACGTGGCGCCCCTTTTTACACCCCTCAATCTTGAGGAACTCATCAAACTCCAAGACACGTCGTTTACAGCATATGTAACCCTGTGTGTGGGGATTTAGCCTCTCATCGGTGCGGTGCCCACATGACTGACCTTGCTTCCTTCATGAAAGATGGGCTGAAGTCTTGAGTCAGCCGACAGGCGAGCCCACCATTAATACCATCAACGTACAACAGCTGGGTGGTATGTGCAAACAGTTTCATCACCATCTCCAATTCGATTCACCTCATCACTGACAAAAGCAGTACCACAGCTTCTGCGTTTACACACAGTGCCAGGAGATACGGGCACGTCGAGATCATCTTCATCTTCCACAACAGGAGCTTCTACAGGTGGGGGAATGGATGGCTTAGGCGGCGCAAGCTTCGGTGTACTGGTCGAATAAACCTCCGCTCCGTCTTTTGCCTCCTTCACGATAAGATTGGAGGCGATCGAGGACGTCTTTATAGCAGGAGCAGGTACTTCTGGGGCTTTGTCTGTATGCGACGAGACCGTACATCCCTGGCGATAAAACCGTCAAGACACATTGCTGCGAAGACTGAGGACCCGCGAACTACTTACAGGTACTTTCATGAACTCGTCAAAGTCCAAGGCTGGCTTATTCACATCGGAACAACAAGACCACGATTTCAAGCCTTCATGGAAGACCTACAGGCTGGACTAAACTGCGATGATTCGACGTTAAGATGTTACAGCGGCTCACAGGTGCTCCAGAATGGTAGGTGCAGCTGGACGGATCATTTGTAGCTAAATCGAAATCCTGGCCACAGCCTTTTCGTGTGCAACGCGGCATTTCGAGTTGAATATGAGTTGCAATCAAAGTACTCGGGAACTCTGGGGTGTGCACGTTCAAATTTATCGCTGTTTCAAGTATCGATCGACCAATTGGTTCATTCTAGTTCATTCTGCTAAGTTGCTTACATAATCGTTTCAGATCAGTATCTCTAGTGATTCTACCAAATACCACATATTCTTGTCTTGGCCAGCCAGCACGACCCGCTACATCCGATTGTGCGTATTACACCCTTTCGGAAACTACTTATCGACGAGTATATTCTTGCTCTATTTAATACTGACTTTACAAATTTGTACACAATTATGGTGGCATTTTACTAGTATTTATGCAAAAGACTCCATGATTCAGAAGTGGTCTCCAGTGCAGGCCCGCTGAGCTCTGAGCGTTCATTATTCTCAGCGTTTCTTCGTGATGCCGAGCAGTTCTAACCCCGAGTACTCAACCATACACGCCTACCCCCGTGCCCTGACTGTTTCACGTTACCCTTATCGCTCCACACTCACACCCTCAGATGCGAGGCTAAATGGACTGTTTATACAGGGAGTCTACTACATTACTATTTACTATCTACATAATAGGGTACAGAACCACACGTGAATAATAAACGATTTCTCTTGCAGGAAAGAATGGCTCATAAGAGGTTGCATTATAATTATGGAAGGGTCGACGGAGACCTTGCCAATCAAAGTGGACAGCATCTTTTCACAGAAGTGTAAACGATCCTGTGGGACACTCATATTACCGCACCCTGCGGATCACAGCCATACGTTATGGCGGAGTCAAGATATCATGACTCTGACATTAAACCGAGTGCTCGGCGGTCTCGATACCATTCAATGTCGATAGAACGGAGGTCAATCACGAACAAGGTGATCCTATTCTGTGCTGCGATGACGAAATTTGCATTGGCACAAAAAGGGGACATGATCTATGCAGGCTCTTGATCATCGATCATAACGAGACGATTCACGTCATGCAGGATTCCCGGATTTCGCACCATAGACAACAAGTCCAGTGGCTTATCGGTAAAATGCAAGGATTCGACATATTTCTGATATGGGTAAGGCTTGGACTGATATCGCCACACGAGAGCAGGCCTGCCATGAAAGGTGTCATTAATTTGACGGAATGAACAACATTGCGGACTATAGCAAGCTTTATACTTAGTAAGCTGATTCACAAAGAAGGTCAAATGACTGAACGTTCGGTAAGCAGCAGTCACGCGGCTGTAAAGCCTACTTCGTAACCAAGTGTACGCGAGTCCTGGAGGCCTGGCCAGTGGCGATGTTACTGGATGCTTAAAGGTTCAACGATATGATTTAGGCTCCGCTCGTGTCCACTTGCACAATCTGTATGATATTATCAGTCTTTCGTGTGGTCCGAAGGTATGCAGAGCGGCCAGGAGCACGTCTTTATTTTGGCGCCTCGGTCATGAAACCAAAAACCATTACCAGGAACATGAACTTGGCCTCGTTAAGTAGCAGCTTTGCCGCCTTGAAGCAATCTATCGTAACTGTCATTGTTCCATTAGAGGTTGGAGTTCCATTGTCACAATGGAAGCATTTCCTTGAGCCGAGGTTCTCAGAGCTATAAGATCCAGGTGTCAAGCGTTCTCAGACCGTGCGGCAAGGGCCGCAAAGCGCTCCGATACTGCCATAACGCTCGTGTCGTGCCGATCAGTAGTTCGCCCGCACAGTTGTGGAAGCTCCGCAAATCGCATGGGAAAGGAAGTATCACGACCGAACAGCAGGAGCATGGAAAATTGGCAATGGCATGCTACGCCCTATGTTCCTGACTCGACAATCAGTGCGTGTTTACGCTCCTTGAGTGGATACTTACTTACTCCTCGGGGCGCAGCAGGCAGGGCTACAGAAAGACTGCCAGCGCCTGGCGATGCCCCTTGCAGTGAATTGTATTGTACTATTCAATTGACTTACTTTATATGTTTTCAAGTTTAGTGATATGGCTCAAACAACGCAAAATTTTCGCACCGATTTGCCCCCTTTGTTTGCAATGATGTAAAAGTGAATGGGAGAAAATTTGTGTCTTCACGAGTGAGTATCTGAAGTTCGGATTTATTAAGATAAGTTTCAAGGAGGGTCGCATGCTTTAAACGCGGTCCTGCGAACTCAAATAGCACAAGTCAGCACTCACTGATGGCAGTGCCACAAGTTGATGCAGTGCAGCCGCTAGTGCGAAGATCGTACGTACGTAAGACGATCGACCTTTTGAGTTGGAACTTCTCTTGGCTAGAAAACATCGTAGGCAGAATACTTTAGCTTATTAGCGTCTATCGGTAAAGTCTGCACATGAATTCACCTCTGCCGCTGGCAAACTGTATTGTTTATCACCAGAAAGGTACTCACTCGTTGTGAGAAATATGGTGAGAAAATGGGGTTACGTTGCACGATTCTAACCTGTCTGCATGGGATAAGTACCTGGGATACATCTTATCCACATGCCGATCGTAGTTCTGTCAGGATAAACCCGGTCCGAAAGCCTCCCATACCAAAAAGCCCAAACCCCATGGGCCGACTCGAGCAAGCGTTCGGACGCCGGAATATATCCGACGACGAGCGGTAGGCATCTCCGGCTTTTCGCTGCCCGCAGTCGAAGGATCACGGAAAAATTGTATTATCCCATCCCCACGAATTTTCTGCACAATCACGAATAGTGAATGTTTCAGAGTGGGATCAACGGTTCGTTCTGATTGAATTGTGCGCCTGGTTACGTCCCATGGTCTGCTGAGGATCTCGTATGCCAAACCCGCCGATGCCCCTCCTGCCACTAAGGTAATGCCATGAATGGCACGTGGAAAATGGCGGCCGAAGAAGTGTTCCTCTGGGGTCATGGATAAATTTTGGATAGTGCCTTGCGCTGCAGCTTTGGAAGCTAATGCCACTCTACGAGTGATTTCAAATATCATAAAGAATGCAGCAAAGCCTGGACAACGATGAAATCTCAGAATGTGCGGGTTGTGACTCATGGAGGTATTACCGCAAACATCTTTAGCACATCCCCAACCCCAACCATCCCACCCTCGACCAGCCATCTCGGAAACCTCCTTCATCCAATGCCTGACCTGTCTTATCTCTTTTATATTGTCCGCTCTACTGGCTGATCTTTGGGGTTCGGTTCCTCGGAAGACTTCTTGCCATGCATGAGACCATCCTCTACCGGTGCCACCCTCAATAATAAGGCGGGTATTCTCTACAGGAGCCGCGATCAAGGCTTGCGTACCCCCAGCAGCGGCACCCGAAAGCGCAGCGATTAAAGTTGGATGCGTCCCCAGACGCGTTTCCAGGTAATTAGATGATTCTGTGTAGGTGGTCCACAGAACAGTACCCAACATCGCATTTGCGACCATTGGCGGCACAAAATGTTTTGGAATCACCATGAACTGTCAAAGCCTGATTAAAATTAAAGTAAAGGTATGAAATAACTACCAAAGAGCACCTACACCTTGCTTTTTCACGAGCGTGGATATGTACTGGACACTTAAAGATGCCCCATGCTTATTAGCATGACCACGAAGAGAGTGCCAACCGCTCACTCAATGATGAGCGTTGTCAACGAGACTATTATAAAAATATCCAGACAGACAAACCTTTGGCTGGTCGGAATAATCGTACCGGGCGAGAAAAGTAAAGTGCTACTCCCCTTGTGGCCGTCCTGGCGAGTGCTGCGTACAACGAATTGCCTTGTTGTTCTTTGGATGTATTGTCCTGAATATTTGTCGACATTCACACCAGCTAAGTTGCTGAACCCCGAGAAGTACCGTCGGATAAGTTATCGCTTTCTGTGTAGTTGGTAAAAGGTAATATTTCATGCGCAGCGGAGCTCAAACTTCGACTCGGAAGAGTTGACAACCAAACTGGTTGACTCTGCTATTATCAATATCCATTCCACTCTCTTGTATGATTGACACACCAACTTTTCATCTTACATCTCTTGAAGTTCGTGGCCTGGTGGAAGATGTTGTCTGCCAGCTATAGACGATTGTTATGTGCACCGTTGTCACGCGAAATGCACACCTTACGAAGCAGGTCCGCTGGCCTCCCGGAAGGATTCAAATTTTTCCCGAAATTTCTGTCCCTCTCCGAGCAGCGCACACTGCTCTCCGCCGCACTCTTTAAACTCGACTCTACCGAAAGCAAACAAGCTCGGAAGCAACGGAGGGACTTCCTTGCCAACCACCCGCAGGAGCATCGTGTGATTGAGGACATTTTCCTTCCCGACGCATACTATAATTTCCAAGAGGTTGCATATCGTATTCGTTGTCAAGATTTTGGCTGATCAATAATCACAGGGCCATTATGATGGCGTGATACGACATTATCGTGAGATGCACTTGTCATCCTGGCCGGAGGATCAGAATCCGGGTCTTTCGCTCATTCTAGCTCGTTTGCAAGGGCTATATCCAACCTCGAACATACAAACACATCTTCTACACCTATCATCCGTAGGGGAGATTCTCGAGCATGTGGATAATATAGAAGCCAGTGGAACTTGGATTCTCGGTGCCAGCCTTGGGGCCGCCAGATTATTACGGATGGAGTCGACAAGCAACCCAGAAGAGTCCTTCGAGGTTCTACTCCCATCGGGTAGTGTTTATTTGCAAATGCAAGTGCAAGTGCGGTCGATATGCCTTCAACTTGAAGCTAAAAGTCAAAGTAGGGACAGCGTGCGGTATGACTATAAGCACTCTGTACTAAAAGCGGGCGGTGACATCAAGGCTGGCCAACGAGTCAGTATAATGATCAGAGTGAGTGGATTGTTCTTCACAGATATGGCGCATAATATTTCGTCACGCTCAGGACCGAAAGGAAGTGCCTACATTCAATACATAAGTGAGCTCGTTGCATTTTGAGGTCTTTACTAAGGGGGCAAGCACGCTTCCATACTGGTCTGTTAGAAGGTTATTTCTTCAGCAACGACACGCACTTGCCAATCCGGGACTGTGTCGTCGTATGGTCCGATAGACAGGCACTGGCGATTTTACCGCATATTTCATTCAACCAGCGCCTTTCCTTCGGGCTTCCGTCCTGTTTGGACTCAGCTTGATCTGAATATGTACTAGAACTATGACAATTACACTATCACTTATGCTTACTATCTGATAGGAACATACCAAGCTCGAATGAAATTGGTGCTCGCATAGCATTTTAAATCCAGCCTATAGTGTTTGTTACGGAGCATGCATTTGGGGTGGAATGGAGATGATATGTCACAGCAATGCCTGCGAAAAAGTGTGGCTCACAAAATTACCGGCACTTACGAATAGATCGAGGGGATAAGTTTGTGTTGATATATATATACACACATAGGCAGGAGCTCCGAGTCACTGAATGAAAATTACCTTATTTAGACCTTTGTGCACGTATCGCCAGATCTCAATCGCAGATATTGCCATGTATACCGAGACTTATACTATTATAAGTATCGAGGTGAGCTGTAGGACGGCATTGCGTCCCGTCGGTCCTCTCGCAAGACAAGAAGTGCTGTCACATCAAGATGTGTTTAGTGCACTGTGAAAGTTTTGTATGACCTCAAGAATAGTGAGTTTTTCCGACAGCCGATCCTTAAATCGACCGTCTAATTTATGTAACACATACACTTGCTCAACATTCCCACAGTCGATCTTGTTGGACATACATAATAATACTGCGCAATCGTGGCGCTACGTATTACTAGGATAAGTGTCATTGTAGCGGTCGTAGCAAGCACGTAGAATTAGATTTCCTGATGTAGCAGCGATTCTCTAACATAATAATGCATATGTAAATTACGTTAGAAACTTCTTCACAATAGTGATGTAGACGCAATTGAACCGTGTGTGTTTGTAAATTGAGCATGCAAGTTAAGCTCGAGCTTCTGCTACGTATCCGCTCCTCGATCGAGTGCCGTTCAACAACTGACATACAAATGACACACCCCCCAAATTTCTAGTTGTGTGTGTTTGCGACTTGATGCCCAAAATTTCTGCGAAGCGAGGAAGACGACAACGGCCAGAGTTTAAAAACGGACCATCCGGTTCTAGAAGGTCAGTTATTGCCACTTGCCAGGCCTAGAGGGTATATCATTTGATTCCAGATAGTATCTTTCCACGAGTCTTTGTCGAAGGAAACCCCCGCGAACCCCGATTTATCCTCGCTTTATAGCAATGACGTGGATGTTTTTTTTTGCTTCCGCGACGAAACCTACCCATGCTCTGTTCACTCTGCCTAGTCACCGGTCACCAGTAGTCACCCCAGTTGTGCGGGACAATCATGAACTGTTTATTGGAAAATAAAAGACATGCATTTTCTGGGGCTGCAAAATGCTCTCGCCGGATTTATCAGTTCCCAATCCCTTGGTAACTCACATGCCACGCGACCTTGGAAGGCAGATCCCAACAGATTGATTGATCCCAGGATCTCCTCGACTAAAGTGCAAGAAATCGATCGCAGATATAAACGGATGAGTTACATGTGCGTCGAGACGAATGAATACAGTACTAGTGATGCGATGATCCTGTAAGGTCCATGAATTGAATGTGGGATGTGCAATAAATAACTCTATGTGGGTGGGCTCTATAGGTTGTAAATCTCATTGGTTTACTTTTACAAGGCTGGACACTCTGAACGTATTATTAGAAAATGACATCACTTATGAATCAGCGGAGGACACCCACGGTAACTGTGCGTGGCCTTCTCCATCTACTTTCACCACCACAATCTGGGTGCCCTATAATATGACTCATGAGAAGAATGTCTTCTGAAATGATGTAGAATTCCTACATCGGCCATACGGTTGGTGGCCTGCACAGTACCGTACTTGATTTCACCACCAGACGCCCAGTAGAAGACTCGAGTGCCATTCTAGGAGTTCGGTCAGGATGAGTGTCAAAGTCAGGTAGGATGCAGCAGCTTACTGGGAAAGCGTTCATAGCCAAAACAGTAGAAACCGCACACAAACGTTGAGTGTGGAGAAGTTGGGGGCTGAGAGAAACATGATACCGTCCTCCTGTTTTATATGCAGTCTGTATGCAGATTACTTCAACGCCTTCGCTCGGTGATAGGGAATTCAGGCTAGCCCTTCTTTCTGAGAAACCTGAGGAGGGTCGTGTCTAATTTGTCCCATATGCCGCTGAATGGTTGGATTGTGTGGAAATGAGCGAGGTCGCTTACAGTGAAGGAAACCTATAGACACGTTAATTAGGTGGCAACCCAAGGAACAATTGCCGAAAGCTTTACTAATTTCATTTGGATTTGGATGGATGATATCGAGATTAGTCTCGCCGTTCGAGAATCCGATGAGGCTGAACTTAAAATCAAATGCGATGCCTGCCCGTTGAGAAGGGTCATGAAATTTTGAATGAATGAGGTCTAAGAAGCTGAGGTACAGACCCAAAAGACAACCCTTGCCTTGCGGCTAACACGTAACAATCCGTGCGCCGCGCACGCAGACTGGTGGAAGTGCACGGGCTCAATGTTATACCACAGCAAATATGCACAGCTAAACTGCCACATGTTGAATAGTTCCACTTCATCAACTAGTAGCGTAAATGACAAAGGGTCGCAACTCACCCTACTCCGGATCGTCATGTTGATCCTCGGAGTCGATCCGTCAGAGCTCCGTTTCATGAATATGAAGTCGAATATTGAGAACTCGGTGGACCCTCATCTTTGGATCTCCAGCAATGTGCCACGAAGAAAGTATCATGTCAGGCAAAGGTACAATTCAACCTTCAACCTTCAAAATATTGATACCAGCGTCAAACCAGTGTTTTAGGTAAGATGAGTAATAATTGCACTTCATTCGTCACAGGTCACGCTGTCACATCTTCAGCCCTTCTTTGTTCAAGAACGCCAAGATGTCTGTAATCCTTGTCACTGGATCTTATGATCATGAAATCAGGTTCTGGGAAGCGTGGAGTGGGATTTGTTCGCGTACTATAGCAAGATCTGGAGAGTCTGGCGTGAGCAAAATGTTTTACCATTTTACGTCGTCAAGACTTATACAAGAATTAGCAAGTGAATCGTCTTGCCATCTCACCAGAGTAATCTCAATGTCCTGTTTCTTCATGTATGAATTTACTGAGAGATTCATTTTATTTTAGCAAACGCCTTTTGGCTGCAGCAATTCACAAAAAGGTCTACATTTATGAGATTACCAGCACCTCCTCGACACCAGTGCGCGTCCAAATATTTGCTACCATCTCCATCTATTTATCCCCTTTAGCTAACGTGCCTAGATGCACATACAAATAATGTAACCTCCGTGTCCTTCCACAGCGAAGGTAAGTGGTTGGTGACGGGTAGTGAAGACGGCACCATCAGAATATGGGATCTTCGGTGGGCGGTCTCACTATGACTCTTAAAGCCTCAAGCGCATAACATCCACGCAGAAGTACACAAGTGCATAGAACGTACGATAACGGTGCCCCTGGCAAGTCTTATCCCTTCTTTCATGACTGTTACTGATACCCTCAAACTCCCAAGTGAATGATGTCTGTGTCCATCCAAATCAGGGAGAACTCATATCCTGCGATCAAGCGGGTTGCATTAAGCAATGGGATTTATCCGAAAATCTCTGCTCGCACGAGCTGGTATGTTCAGAACAAGGTTGCAGTCGTCATTGGTTGACATCCTGTCGGAGACGCCTGCAGGCGATGTTCCTATTCGGTCCGTCAGCTTGGCATCTGATGGCTCTTGCCTAGTTGCAGGAAATAATAAGGTACTATCTACCTTTTGATGATTCGTTGTTTACATTTTTGGCGTAGGGCAAATGCTACGTCTGGAAAATTAACGAGGAGAAATCAGACCTACCTCGTTACCAGGCAGTGACAAAGTTCAGCGCCCATAAGAAGTACCTCACTAGGGTGTTACTAAGTCCAGATGTGAAGTGAGCTCATTTGAGCTACCGATTTGGCAAAGTCTCTGAAGAGGAGAGGCAGATATCTTGCCACGTGTTCTGCAGATACCACCGTGAAGATATGGTCTATATCACAAAATTATGAATTCAGACAAGAGAAGGTTCTTCAAGGCCACCAACGATGGGTTTGGGATTGCGCATTCAGTGCTGATTCAGCTTATCTTGTCACAGGTGAGAAATTCATTCACCTGTCGACTCTATAATAGCCTTATGTATCCACTCAACTTTTAGCGTCCTCGGATCACACTGCCCGGCTCTGGGAGATGGCATCTGGAGAGACTGTGCGACAGTATAATGGCCATCATAAAGGCGAGTCATTGTGTCCCAGTTTACGAGGAAAGCTGAAGGACGCCTCCAGCGGCTGTTTGCTGTGCACTCCACGACGGTGCTGGATAGTTTTTGTATGTAGCAAAACAATATCTACATCGACCGCTCTGTTCCACCAGCCTACGAATCTACGAAATAGTCATATTTATCGCGATACTCAATTCAGTTTTTATCGGCGAGTACTCTTTTGGGTGCCGTCGGCCTGTTGTTTTTTTTACTCGATTTCCGAGTCGCCTGTAGAGATGTGACCGGTTTTTGAACTTCCAGAGACTTCTGCATTCGCTTCGACGTTCGGGCTTACACATCCGACTTCCCCGGGATTGATATCAAGTAAGCTGCAACAGGCAAGGCAGCGCTGGCGCTGAGCCATTCTCTCCTTTAATCCCTTAAGGCGTAATGAAGTAAGTCCTCGGTCTTGGTGATGCTTCTATGCTCCATATTCAGCAACGCGTGCCTCCTGGTAAATCAAATATTGCGAATTGCACATCCTCGAACATCAACCCAATCAGGGAAAGATGCCCACACCAACTCCGCGTCAGTTGTTTCTCTGATTATTTGATGAGACAGAACTCTGATTGACATCAAGCCCATCTGCATCCAAGATTCTGGAGCATGGCAAAACATGGTACCATCAGATCTACCAAAAGATGGGATTTTTGGTCAGTTCTTACCTCATGATCATGTCCGCAGAGCAGTGCTACTCCCCAAAATTTTAAGTGCTTCTCTCGGTCCTAAAGTGGATACGTCTTCCCCCAACTATCATCCGACCGGAAATAATCAGTTAACAGACTGGGTCCCATTATCACCGGCACTGTCACGAACCTCCTGTGTTGCGTCCCTTTCCCAAGCGTTTCTTATGCCTTCGACTTTGGGGTCGCAACAACCATGAAGAAGAACTCCTCGGTGTCGGAGAAGGAACCGATAGATCATATTCGTGTGACCATCGTACATCCCCTCTGGAGTTCCTTCTCGTCTTGCCAGCTGACCGCAGCTTGGGCTGACACCTGAGACCCAAGCAAATAAGAGTCCGCGACAGATGCTAATTGGGGGGACATATTCAAATTTAATGTATTCATAATATGTCTGGAGATATGGATCACAGCTGTCCATACGACTTTTCTGACCGTGTCTCAGGTGTGACCTGGTACTCGCGGCCCGCCTTCGTGCCGCTGGAAAATAGAAGGACTTGTTCGGCCGAGATGTCTTGAGTTGGCAATCAAAGTTCGCAGACTTCGACAGTTAAATCAGTTTATCTTTGCTCAGTGATCAAAGGTAATGATCCGTAGCAATAGCAAACGGATCGGCAACTAAGCACGGCTACTGCACGATTGTATTCATTTCAATATCCTATGTTGAAGTGATATCAATATGGTACTGCCGGTCAAAGTGGGATTCGAGTAATGCTCTTTGATCACGACGTTATAAGACTCCGTACAATCAAAGGTAACATCGTGGATTCATCTTTTGCTGAGTTTGGGCCCTGGGCCCGAGGCTTTGCTTGCTACTTACGTGCAAACACGAAGACTGTCATTGGACTTTGAAGTTGCTTCCTCAACATTTTCAATGCTTCGTTTTCGTGGTCTCGAGCATGGTCCTTCGATTTTCAACCGGACCGTGCACCGACATACGGTCATCATCAACCCCCGCGTGACTCATGAGCAAAGATGAGGCCTAGGTGTGAGCCGTACCACTGTAAGAAGTGTTTTTTTTCATGTTCATATCGAGGAATGAGCGGCTTAGCAGGATCCATTATTCACAGACGTGATTGTGCTTTCGCACACCGAGTTATCATGTCCTTCATAGTTTATTTCCGTGTCCACCAGGGAACATGACTCGTGTACGTGCAGCGGTTTTGCATACTAGGGAGTGCCGTTGGCCGAAACTCGCCCAAGGGAGCAGTCGAACAGATATGTATAGTCTCTCCTAGTCAGACTTATCAAAGGAGGATAGTCGTTTATTACGAGGTATCGTCGGTCCTTGGCGGTCAGTGCACGAACGCTCATGCCCAAGGCCGATCCAACGCTTTGAGAATATTGGCGCTGTCCGAGGACTTCTGTGTCCCCAACTCTTGGGCCATCATTTAAACGCAAGTGAAACCGTACTTGGAAGCTTGGACTCTGGATCCCAACCGATCACAACTACAGAGGCTTAATTGGCCTGCCTGCATTTCCCTCCACTCTCAGGTTCATCCGAGCACGGAAAACATGTTGGCGGAATTGATGAGAGGATGTAGCTGGGCCATATATATGACCATCCACATAAGATAACATGATGCAGGCGTGAACATGAATATCATCCTCTTGACCTCGTTTGAAGCCGAACTCGACTTCGCTGCATCACCACCACCGCCACTTCGCCTTCTGGGATACCTTTGTAGCAATTCAAAGCTTCGAATGGTAGTGATGAAGCATCCGACTTCTGATGGCTTCATATCATATACTTTTAAATGTGCTCGTGAAGTCACGTTTTCACAACAGGTATAGTCCTTTTTCTTGCTGTGAAGATGAAGATTGCTTCAAGATTTTCGAGGAAACAACCTATTCGTAACCCCCGGTTATTACCTTTGTAAGGGCTGATTCTCGTCATGCGCTCCATAAATCATCTGCAGTTAGAAAGCTTTGATGAAATTTTGCAGAGCTCAGATCTTCACCTCAGCGTGGCCCTAACAGTGATTGTACCGGTTAATCAAGTTCTTCGCCCGTGCCATCCTGTTCCTCGGGTTGATCGAGATTCGGATAGCCAAATTTTTTATCTTAATAGGCACATCGACTTGGAGTTGTTTGAGCGCTTGTCATGTCAACAAAGAGCCACACAAATCCAATGGAATACATACATGAGTGCACACTGACGCCAGACGTCGAAAAACTCTTTGCCGTGAAGCTTCGTGATGGGGAGGAGCTTGAGGAATACAACAAATCTAGAGCACGCGACTGCCCGTGGTAGGGTCTGGAACGCCGAGCGCCTCTCAGATGGCGGACGAGAGATTCGTGAACTGGTGGTGCCAAAACAGCTAGGGAATATTATGATCTTTTATGGTATTGTGCACCTTCGCAATCTCCTTAACCTTATCCAAGTTTTCCGGCTCGCTAGCTGAAGGACCATGTTGGTGACCCGTTCTTGTGACTCAGTCCGTAGTGCGTCACTCCTTCATCGTGGCTGGTGTGAAGTAATAGATCCACCGTTCCAAGGTCCTTGATATTGAATTGTTTCCCCTCAACTTGAATTGGGAGGAAGTGGTCCCAATTGTAAAGCTCGAAGCGTTATAAAGCAGCACCATAGATTGTGATGAAAAGACAGTCCGACCGTTTCCGGAACTAGCGGACTTTCAACTTGAGTTATCACGCATCCGTCGATAGTTCTGTCTCCTGTTTTCGACCTCGTTTATTCTACCATCGCAGTCTTGCAATGTAACCCAATTGTTCCGTTCTACGTCATTTTCATCAGAGCTATAACAACAGACCTAAGGTGTTGCTGACAGAGATCTTGACTAAAGTTGATGCCCGAGCATTGAATCAATCATAATACCCACATCACACCGCCTGAAGCAGCTGTGGCAAGTGCGCGACCAATCTTGACAGACGCAGATCTAAGGAACAGCTTTATTCTTGGGTATTGTAGGAAGCTCGAGCCTATGCCAACATGGGCATAGCGAAGAGATCATATATCTACAGTATTTAAGCACGAGATACCGTCGGGCGCAATTGTGTTGGACCACCACATCATGCTGTGTCACTGCGCGTTGATAGTTTGGTCTCCTTTCTGTTTCTTATTTGCTATTCTTTCATTCACTACTATGGCGACGTCCGCTTCATATCATGGCGTTGTTGGTCTTCAAAATTGAAGTCGGTATCAGATTGGCAGAAAGAACTCCTAGCGATATGACGGATTCATTGCTACTCCAGAACTTTGGGACATTCGTGTCAATGTGTTCACATTCGGTGCGAACACTGCCTCAGCTGAAGATGGTAAGTGTCATTGTAGCGGTCGTAGCAAGTAATTAGATTTGCTGATTTAGCAGCGGCTCTCTAACATAATAATGCTATGTAAATTACGTTAGAAACTTCTTCACAATAGTGATTGTAGACCCAATTGAACCGTGTGTTTGTAAATTGAGCATGCTGAACGTCCAAGTATGCTACGTATCCGCTTCTCGATCGAGTGCCGTTCAATAACTGACATACAAATGACACCCCAAATTTCTAGTTGTGTGTTTGGGACTTGATGCCCAAAATTTCTGTGAAGCGAGGAAGACGACAACGGCCAGAGGTTAAAAACGGCTCATTCGGTTCTAGAAGGTCAGTTATTGTCACTCGCCAGGCCTACAGGGTATACTCATTTGATTCCAGATAGTATTTCTCCACGAGTCTTTGTCGAAAGAAACCTCCGCGAACCCCGATGTATCCACGGTTTATAGCCAATGATGTGGACGGTTTTTTTACTTCCGCGACAAAACCTACCCATGCTCTGTTCACTCTGCCTAGTCACCCCAGCTGTGCGGGACAATCACAAACTGTTTATTGGAAAATAAAAGACATGCATCTTCTGGGGCTGCAAAATGTTCTCGCCGGATTATCAGTTCCCAATCCCTTGGTAACTCACATGCCACACGACCTTGGAAGGCAGATCCCAACACTTTGATTGATCCCAGGATCTCCTCGACTAAAGTGCAAGAATCGATCGCAAATATAAACGGATGAGTTACTATAGGTTGTAAATCTCATTGGTTTACTTTTACAAGGCTGGATACTCTGTTAACGTATTATTAGAGAATGACATCACTTATCAATCAGCGGAGAATACCCACAGTAACTGTGCATGGCCTTCCCCATCTACTTTCACCACCACAATCTGGGTACCCTATAAGATGACTCATGAGAAGAATGTCTTCTAGAGTTATGTAGAATTCCTACATCAGCCATATGGTTGGTGGCCTGCACAGTACCGTACTTGATTTCACCGCCAGATAGGCAGTAGAGGACTCGAGTGCCATTCTAGGAGTTCGGTCAGGATGAGTGTCAAAGTCAGGTAGGATGCAGCAGCTTACTGGGAAAGCGTTCATAGCCAAAACAGTAGAAACCGCACACAAACGTTGAGTGTGGAGAAGTTGGGGGTTGAGAGAAACATGATACGATCCTCCTGTTTTATATGCAGTCTGTATGCAGATTAGTTCAACGCCTTCGCTCGGTGAATTCAGGCTAGCCCTTCTTTCTGAGAAACCTGAGGAGGGCCGTGTCTAATTTGTCCATATGTAGTAAGGCACTTCGAATATTGTACAGCTGGGAGGTATCCCCGCCGACTCGACCTTGCAGAATCTGCTTACCTCAGTCGTATCAAAATATTGTCAGCTGTTCCTCAGGAACAAAGGGATCTCCCTGTTTTGGGGTGGAGTCAAGCGTGTCCTGCGGAGCGCCTCCGAGTTGGCTTCCTGCGTTGCAGCTGACTCTGCCAGATGACGTTACCGTATCAACTGTCGCTTTCTCCGTGCATCAGCTGGGTCATAATGCTTGTCATAAAACAATGCCCTGTGGACAGCATGTCATTGTTTCGTGACAAGCATTATGACCAGGGACCTAGTGATGTTCCGGCCCAGCTTAGCCCAAAAGCCGCGGCTTTGGCCTTGGAGGGTTTGTGAATCTTGGGCCGTGTACATTGATGCAGCATCTAATGCTGCCCTCGCATCTGGGACACGGCCTTGTCTGCAGAGAGCGATACCCTTGGAGATATAGCCTGTCGAAGAGGGCTGAATGCTAATGAACTATGTCATCGTCAAGTAAGTCTTTTGAAAGGGGGCGATGATGAGTCAGTGAATCTCACCTTGATTGCATCCTGAAGGGCGTTATCCCAAACGTAGGCTAGGTCCAGGGTGAGCGAGATGTGTGTCGGTGGTGCCGCTGAAGAGGGATCCAGGTGGAACAAAATCAAGCGGAGCATGAATTATTCTTGATACTCCAAATTAGTACTACATAGTGCTAACTTAAGCCCCTCATGCCGACTCCTAACGAGCTGAAGTTACCTGTTGAGCTGTGGCTCCTCGTTTTCTCTTTCGGCAAATTTTCCTCTAATGATCTAGCTGTACTCTGCAGAGTGTGCGCCGGCCTCTATCACGCAGTAGTTGACTCTCTGTATGAGTCCATCACGGTCGACAACTCGGACGTGTGCACCACGCTCGCAGAGTGTCCCCATCTCGCAGAGAAAGTCAAATCTTTCGTATTTACATATCCGACAATCATGGTCTACGACGGTCCCGAGGTGCACTTAGATAATCTCACGTCGGCCCTCAAAAATATGACCTGCCTCTCAACACTGAAGCTTATCCATTCCCAGAAGCATGGATACTCGTCCGTTCTTCAGTATTGTGATGCCGAGCTCCATGTTTTTCATTGCACCTATCGTGTCAACCGCCGACTCCTAAGCTTTTTGAATAGGCAGGATAGCGTCCGTGATCTTGCTCTCACTGGCATGCCCACACTCGATATCTATCCCGAACACGAGGAGATGTTTCTTCCCACGTCTCTGCCACTTCTAACAGAAATCTCTGCCAACTCTTGCTTTTTAAAAGCCCTTGTACCTGGACGCCCAGTTCACACTGTGCGTTTCAAAGGCCAACATGTACACCGCAGTGGGACGCGGCTCAGCGACTTCATCGACCCCTCCACAGTACCTGTCAAACATTTGGGACTTGATTTCATGATTTGGCGGCCGCGAGCAATATGCCGCACACCACTTTCCAAGGACATTGAGGAAATTACGCTGACAGGTCTGGTTACTAAGGTCAGCAATACTGGTTGGATTTATAACAGGGTTATGACTGACAGCCATATAGCGCCTGATTATCCGGCCTCAGAACTTCGGAATTCCTTTCTGGGGAGACTTTTTTGATCGCATGATAGCAGACGCACGGAATTTAAAAAGGCTGACGTTCTGGTTTGAGGGAAACCGCGAAGACGCTCGTTCATGGGCTCAACTTCTCTTCGAGGAGTTCCATGATACACTATCACGTTTGGAGCACGTCTCATGCGTATTTGCTGGACCAGACATTTCAACGTCATTCGACTTTTCGTCGGGTTGCCTCCCGATCTCGCATGAGGATCATAGAACCCGTGGCCATAGGGCCGCGAATGACGTTAGGGAGCTGATGCCGGTCCCGGTCCTCTGTTGCTGGAGTGAGGAAAACCTTTGCGATGTAAATTGTGAATTCAACATCACACTCACTTAATTTTTGTGTTCTCTCTGCCACAGCGGTATGCATTCATAATTCTAGTGGCAGGATTTTTTTTTAAATCCTATTTATTGTCTTTGGGCAACGCCCGATGTAGATTATATTTCTGTGTAATTGTGTCATTAAATTTTGTTTTCTGTTTCAGCCACTGGCTGACCATGTTTACGTGTGTTATCTTCCAGCCGCTGCTCAGAAAGTCTGGTTTTTCGACAGGCCGGCGTGCCAGGACGGCGTTTCGACCGGCGGCAGCTCGGCAAAATCATGCGGGGCTTGAAATTTTGCATCAGCTAATGTTGAGACCAATAGAATTTCACTGCAGAAACGAGATTTTAACCAGACCTGTTAACAGAAAGTCTAGGGAGACAGCACGATGCAACTCTAAACGTACCTAGCTTATAATCAGACAAAAATCCAACATGTCACAAATTTCGTTTCCTCGGTCTGAATTCCAACATGTACATGAGTAAACAAATGCTTTTCCAACTTCGTTAACATGTCCTTTCCGACCCCTGTTTATTCCCTTCAAATACTCGCTATTCCACCACATGCAAAACCAGCCTTGGAAATCTAACCTTTCAACATCTGTTTAGGTTGCACTTGAAGCAAAGTAGGGTTTTCCTTCATGTGGAGTTTGAAATGGTAAGTGTCTGGTTTGCAATAGATGATCACCATACTGATCACTGGTCCAAACCCCGTCCTCAAACACCGGTAATCTGATAAACCAGATGTCCTCCTGCTGCTGAGAGTGTGAGGGGAATGAGGTTGTGCTGGGTTTTAATTTTTCACGTGATTTCGGACAATTCCGCACACCTAGTATGCTGCCCTCAAACACTCAAAGCAGTGGCTGGTACATCAGGAAATCACACATTTCCTTTTCCAGCTTTTTCACACTTATTTAAGAGACTTATTGCTAATCATCACTTTTTCTCACTTATATTTTGGATGTAAAAAGCTTGTGCAATTAAAATAAGTAGGCAAGTAAAAAAGTAAGAAAAAGCGGAAAAGTAAGTAAAAGCAAGAGGATTGAAAAGACATAGAAAAAAAGTGAGTTATGTTACCAAGCTATTTCGAAGGCATGATGGTCGGCATATATGTTGACATAAAATAGGGTAAACATATTGAGAACATGGTGAAATTTGACTAACAAGGGAAGCAGTTCAGTACTGTAGACCGGAATAAGATGTGCAGAACAAAAATAGCTTCGACATGAATCACCACATAGTGTGCATGATTACCATTAAAAGATGGTGACACCATCCACATCCCAGTATCTTCATCTGGCGTGTCATCGATTCGGTTGAACCACCGAACGACTGCACATGGATAATATACTCCCCTTAATCGAAAGGAAAAAAATGTTAGTACCTGGGCAATGTCCATACCCTGCATTCCAGGAACGTTCAGGTCAGTAATAACAAACACGCAATCTTTGCATGCATATTCATTTCTCCATCTGGGGGACACGCGAATGTGCTCGCATTTCATCCCGCCGATTCCACTCAGGTTGCTTGGTGCAAAGAATGTTGAGGCTGTGGAGTGGAAAACTCGTATCCTCCCATTATAACGAGGGCAGTCCATAATACCTGCGGGAATTTGTGTGGGGTCCTTGTCTCGATACAGCTGCTTGATGAGGAATTGTTGAACAAGTTCAGCCCAGTCAGGGATGTGGAGCTCGTTAGCTAGTGCAGGAATGCTTTGTGGGCACTTTTTTCCCTCTGTTCATAATGATATTTAGTAGTGTATCAAGGTTGTACAAATGAAAAAAGACTTATGAGACATTCGAGCAAGCTCTACATGTGCAAGGACTGACATTGGCACATCAATATCCTCGGAGTCAGCATTGACATCCGGGTCGAGTATACTGGCGCTTTGGGACATACTGGGCAGTGGAGCGGGGGACCCCTAGGGAGGGGTTAGGTCATAGAGGTTGTTTGGCGGTGTTTGGAGCGCAGGCAGGGCGTTAGGTAGAGTTCCAGCAGCAGTAGCACGCATCACTTCGTTGTAGAGTCCAGCCCATGCATTTAGCAGAGCCCACTCCAACTGGTGAACAGAGCGAGAGCGTCCCAATTTTCTCCTTTTCCTTTCATTTTCAAGAGCATAGAGCAGAGCACCGAGCATAGAGCATAGAGCAGAACCAGAGCAATAGAGTCAAACTGAGCCCAGAGAATGTCGCACCTCGTGTCAGAACATGAGGAGAACGCACCAAGCATAGCCTTCAACAAGTATAAAAACCCGGTTTTTTCACTGACACCCTCAACCACAGTCAAACTAAATCCTCCACGAGAACCACCGCCTAGAGACAAGAAAGGATGCTTCATAAAGAAAACAGCCAGTTACCTTGAACTCTCCGACACCACATTCCCATCCTCAGATTCATCGCCCTTAGACACTCCAGAGATCAACCAATGAGCGCTAGAACACGAACACGAGGAATCAGAACACGAGGTCATACAGCAGCTAGCAGATGATGAAGAATCCTTACCAGGAGCGCCAGACCCCTCCACATCAATCTTCCACCCTCAGTCTCCTAAACACATACCAGTCGTCGCCCTCCCACCCGTACCGAATAAACCAAACAAGGTCATGACGGGTGTACCGTTACCCGCACTGTTCCACGGGAAAGAAAGCGAAAACGCGCAAAACTTCCTGCGAAGCACGGAAGCATACTTTCTGGTCAACCAAATCACAGATGAAGCCGTCAAAGTAGCACTATTCACTGCATTAATCTCAGCGGGATCACAAGCAGACCACTGGTGGACGAACCTCGATGCACAACATAAGGCAGTGTGGAGAAATGTTAAAGCGGCCTTCGAAGCAAAGTGGCCGGCAATAACGGTAGCAGGAAAGACTCAACTCGAATATCAGAAAGAGTTATTAGCATTACGGTTGAAAGAAGAAGATGTAGGAGAACACCTCACGTTAGCCGAAATCACCACCTGGTCCCACATCCACTTCCATAACCAGCTCACGACGTTAGTACAAGACGCAGGCGTAGCAAACGCACCAGTTCTAATACACCAGGTTTGAGACGCGCTCCCGCAAGTCTTACGAGACCTCACAGCACCTGCGCCAGCTGACTGGAATACATTCTTATCGGAAATCACAGGTGTCAATGTGGACATCCTGCAAGACAAGGCTAAATGTGAGAAAGAGAGAAAAGAAGTAGAAAGATCGCAAAACATGCATATCGCGTGTCTAGAAAGCCAGAGGAATGACCCAGTAGAAGTGCTACACCTACAGATGCAGCAGGCAACACTCGGAACGAATAATCCTATGAGAACAATGGGAGCAATGATGCCGCAGACGAGAGTAATGACAGGAAGTCCTACCATGCAACAAATGCAGGTCGCCAGAAGACAAGTACGCTACACGGCAGCCGGTCAAACGCAGCCAGGACAAAGAGCGGTACGAAGCGCACCTACGCAAGAAGAACAAGACCTCTTATGAGCTCGCATCAACGAGCTGCCGCATCATGTAGACACGGATGCAGGTCAGGCAGCCTACAACGAGCAACAAAGACAATGGGCAGTAAGATGGGGAGAAAGAGCAAGGTGCATGGAGAACACACCATTTCCGCTAATGCCAGGCACAGCGCAAATATGCTCTGGAGAGTGCTTCAGGTGCGGAGCGCACGGACACATAAGCCCAGAGTGTCAGTTACCGCCCGATGCACAACTGCCGAAGAACGAAACAATATGGCGAGGGATATGTACCAGAACGCTGGGAGCATTCAATAGAGCAATGGCTCCACAAGTTAACTATGTGTTCGAAGAAGTCTTCACACCGGAGGTAGCGGAGCAGGGAAAAGGCCAAGGGTCATTGGCATAGAGGACAGCTGAATGACCCTAACACGCAACAATACCTCAGTTCAAGGAACAATCAGTCCTTGCGTGCCAAGAGGAGGCACACGAGGACAAGCATCACACCTCCATCGAGAATCCAAGTCATACAGAATATGTCACTATGCAGTCTCAATCTAGTGAACAATATGACATTGTTGAATTGTACTCGATGGACGATGAGGAGACCCACTGTAAATGCCAACCGTTCATGCAGTACGTCTCACTCAAGGGAGCACAAGGAGAAACTATACGAATCAAAGCGCTCTTCGATGAAGGCGCCATGGTCAACGCCATGTGTGCAACAGAATTCGAGCTGATAAAACATCGGTTAGGAAGTTGGGGAACATCAACGAAAAGACTACGCATGGCGAACGGCACAATAGTACCCTCCAGAGCCGTATGGAGAGGCGAAGTCATAATAGAAGGAGTCAAGATGCAAGAAGAGTTCGAAGTATTCGGAAGTGGAGGAGGATGGAGATTTCTGTTCGGAAAACCGCTACTGCACGCATTTCGGGCGATACTCGAATACGAAACCGACATGGTACATATATCAGGAGAAGGAGGGTCAAAGACGATCTATAATCAAAGTCAAGCAGAGGACACGGCACAGAGAGAAGAGAAGATCCCTACAAGAACACACATCCCAATCTGCATCACATCAGACGACAAAGATGAAACCACAGTCTTTATGAGAACGACGAATCCGACAAACCCGAAACGAGTAGCATATGTCGTGAAGGCGGTACAGTATGGGAAGGAACTGACGGAGGAAGAACGCAAACGAGTTGAAGGCTTAGTAGAAAGATACGCAGACATATTTGCGTGCTCACTTTCAGAAGTACTCCCAATCCCAGGAGCTCAACATTGGCTGAACATACCAGAAAATGCCACGTTCAACCTACGCATTCGTCAACGAGCCCTTACGCCACCACAAGCCAAGTTCCTACACGGCCGAATCGACGAAATGTTGGCAGCAGGGATAATCGAGAAAGCACCAGCGGAATGGGTCAAATGCTGCGCCACTACAGTATTAGCGCAGAAGGCACATGAACAAGGCAGACTTACGCTGGAAGAGCTACAGTACAAAGTCAACGAACAATATGCGAAACATGGGCAGCAGCCAGCATTTACCTTACCAGAACGCAAAGTCCAAGAAGCACCTCGAGAAGCGGCAGACGATAAGCCGCAGAAATGGAGAATCTGTCAGAACTTTAACGAAGTTAACAGACATACCGTGATAGCGCCAATGCCACAAGGGGACATACGAGCCAAACAATTAAGGCTAAGTGGTCATAAGTACGTGTCAGTATTTGATTTTGCGTCCGGGTTCTATGCTGTCGAAGTTCCAGAAGAGTCCAGGCCTTACACGGCCTTCTATGTAGAAGGACGCGGTTATTTTTGGTATAAACGCATGCCGATGGGACTCACCGGAGCGCCTACCACATTCTGCGAAGTAACAGCCACTCATTTACATGACTTAATCGCCGATACAACCATGGAAATCTTTGTAGATGATGGAGGAAGTGCAGGCGATACATTCGACGACATGTTCGGGAAACTAGAGCACATTTTTCAACGTTGCCGAGACCAGAAATTATTATTATCACCTATGAAATGTCGACTCTTCATGTCAGAAACAACTTTCGCAGGAGCAACAGTAGGTCCAAAAGGAGTTCAACCTGATCTCGAAAAATTAACTGCTATCGTAAACTGGGAAAGGCCAGCAGACGCACTTAACTTAGAGTCATTCTTAGGACTAACCAGTCATTTTAGGGACTTAGTGCTTGGATACGCAAAACGAGAAGGACCATTGCGCAACCTAATAAAAGAAGCACCGTACTTCACGTCGTCAGAAATGTTCATGAGCGATGGAGGGAAGCACTTTAATAACACAGAAGTTCGAGAATATTGCGCTAAGTGGTCATGTAAAACACACGTCGTAGCAGCTTACTCACCATGGGTCAATGGACTTGTAGAAGGCACAAACAAAATCCTATTGCACGTACTCAAGCGTTTATGCGCCCCAAACCTTGGCGAAGACAAATATGAAGCAATATCGTGGGACACCTTGCCAAATAGTTGGCCAAAGCATCTGGAGGAAGCAGTCACGGCCTTGAATTATAGAATCTTGCCAGCTCTGAAGTTCTCGCCAAAAGAACTTTTGCTGGGACAGGTGATCAATACTCCAAGGACAGACATAGCTAACAGCACGTCAGCACTACGAATATTGGATGCCAATATACACATGGCGTACGTCGCACAGCAACATCTAGACGGATATGAGGCTACAGTACAGCACACTATCAAGAGGAAAGCGGCATTCGACAAACGTGTACTATCACGCTCACCAAGGGAAGTGATCTTTACGAAAGGACAACTCGTTCAATTTTATTATAGCAGTGCGCACAACACACTTGAAGCGAAACGAAAACTATTGCCGAAATGGTCACATCCTCATCGGATTACTGAAAGGATACGCAACTCATACCGTTTGGAGACCATACAAGGAGAACTGCTATCAAGTGAGTTCCACGCAAGACGGTTGAGAGTGTTTACACCGAGGGAGGGCATGAAGTTGTGGGAAGAGCAGAAAGAAAAAGAAGCACAATTAGCGCAAGAAGAAGAAAATGTCCAGGTCGATGAAACCCAAGTCGATGAAACCCAAGTCGATGAAATTCAGAACAAAGAAGAGCAGCAGATAGATGAAGAGGAGAGCGAGAATGAAGATGAAGATGTAAACGACACAGAAAGGTGCGACACAGTCGTCGCTGTTTTTAAGGGGGGCACATGGAGCGGGGGACCCCTAGGGAGGGTTTAGGTCATAGAGGTTGTTTGGTGGTGTTTGGAGCGCAGGCAGGGCGTTAGGTAGAGTTCCGGCAGCAGTAGCACGCATCACTTCATTGTAGAGTCCAGCCCACGCATTTAGCAGAGCCCACTCCAGCAGCTCAGGGTCATGTTGATCTGCATTGGTCTGCTCTTCCACATTGGTTTGTGCAGGCTGTGCACACTGTCTATCTGATGGTTCTATAGCAAAGGTCAAAAAATCTAACAATAAACGAAGTAAAAATGAATCACATACCAAGTGCCGCAAGAACGGATGATAGACATGTACCCGAGAGCATCCCGCAAGTGCGGAAATCCATGCATGACGCCACCAACTTGTCAAGACGCTGATTGGTCAGTAACATCTGACCCAGAGCCTTATATTGGCTGGACCATCTCCAAGGCTCCTTGACGGCCTTTATATGCTTTGACTCCGTAATAGAGGAGCAGAGGCTGTTCGGAGCGCCAAAGAGTCGGATAAGATAGATGTAGTGAGACATGGTGTATTGTCGGGGAAGTGAAAAAGTTAAGACTGTTCCGGTAGTCTTGAAAATCTCCCGATAGTGGTGAAAATGGGTAAGGGCATCTTGAATTTCATCGAGCAACTTCTCTGTGATCACATTGCGGCGGACAAGGTAACAGAATTTGAGGAAGGCATGGAATGCATGCACAACATCCAAGGGGACGTGACCTTCAATGGCCGGCAAATATACCTTCATAAGGGCCTTTGAATCGTCGCCAGTCCACTGTTTGAAGTGACATCCTTGAGGAAATCTATGAAGTCTAGGGAATGGAGGAACTGCTGCAATTCTATGAAAGGTTAGAGTAAATCAAAATGATGGTGCATAAACACACCTTTGGTCAATATCATCTAAAATTATGTTAGCCTGCATCTTTCCATGTGTGCGCAGTAGGTATTTCTCTACCCATGTAACTAAGTGGTCCTTATATGCCCCCTTGATAATCTGGTGAAGAAGATCAGGTGCGAGGAGTTCGTGGATGTTGGTGCGGGGAAAGTCATTCATAAATGGCTGAATATAAGAGTTAATTCTAAGTACAAATGAAACTGAACAACTGAATTACCACAAGCACGTTAATGAGACCATACTCTTTCCACAGTGTATCAAAATCGCACTCTTCGATGAGTGCATCTGCATGAGTTCTTGAACAAAGGAGACTAATCTCATCGAGGTCATCGCTATGGGCAAGACACCTAGTAATATTTAATATAAGAATGAATACAATAGATAATCAGAAAACCTTACTTGGCACACCAGTTCCGAACTATGCATGCAATATATGGCCCGAGTCCATATATGACACGGCGATAGTGGCCATCCCCAAAACGAACAATTTCAGGCTTTGTCATGCCTGGCTTCAGATTTTTGAGGATAAATGAGAGGGACGAATGAAAAATTTGATGTCAGAAGCTTCAAAAACCTGGTGTCTCGGCATGCTGTTTCGTGGCTTTGCAGGAGGGTAAGGACAGTAAAATGTGAACATGTGAGCACATACTTTTTGGCATTGCAAGAAATCCCACCACAGCAACAGCATTGCGGTGTGCACGGCGAACAGTATTCTGGACATTCCCAATAGATGTGTAGAGAGGTAGTAATCATTTTGCCCAGTTGCAACCGAAACAGTGGTTTTGTCACTCCTGAGAATGACAGGCATGAACATTGAGCCATGAGTATCTGGATCCTCGGAAATCTTATCCTGAAAATATCTCTCAAATCATGTGCATTAACGATAATGAACATACATACTGCTTGAGACCAAGCCCAATCTCCAGACATGGAGTCCTGCCATTGGCATTTGTCATTTTCGGTTGTGTACTCATGGTAAGGTTGGAGATCGATTTCCATAGTATAGTCCAGATTAGAAAGCATATTGTTAACAACGTTGCGTGGATCATGAAACCAAACATCATAGCTATCTGTCATCCAGGGTGTGACACCTTGTTCCAGAATCTTGCCAGTTTTTTTTTACTGAAAACGACTGCCATTTAATGTCTCCGAGGGGTGTATCGTCGATGGTCTTGTAAAGTGCACGGTGGTCGGGAAACAAAGTTGTTTTGCTACCCCCTTCAATCAATGAAGCTGCCCATATATTTAACAGCTGGTCGATTGAATGCATGGGGGTCTGATTTTCCGTAAATAGGTAGTCGGCGAGCTCAAACTCTACCCGACTCTTGTAAGGTGTCCAGTCATCTGACGCCTTGTCTGAAAGTGGTGGAGGCGGAGTTCCTTATGGAAGGAAGTTACCTTCACGATCACAGGGGCGAGCTTCATAGGTCACAAGCAATATATCAGTACTTGAGAATTATACCGTCCATAAACTTACCAGACAGAAGTGGATAATAATTTCTATACAACTGGTTGTCAGGCCCAACAAATCGAGTGGTTGGTTGCAAGGGATCTTCCGGTCCCAAGTCCGTGTTGTTGGCATCACCAAAATCCAAATCAAAGGACAATGCAGGACTTGGTGAATGAGGGACAGAAGCCTGAGTCACTGCATGTGGACGTAAGAACACGGGGTGCTTCGCATTCACATGCTGCATATACCCTGATCGGTTCTTGAACCAACGGTTACACCCCGGCTTTGTGCAAGGGATGTAAAGTCCACTGGCCTGGTGGCGCGGGTAGTTTCCTTGTGACCCAGTTTGGGACATGCTGCTTGATGTATTTGGAGTTGGGGAGGGTAGGACTCGTTGGTAGGATAGCCAATATCTGCTCTGGCGGATTGAGTTGATGGTATTTGGAGTCAGGAAGGGTTGAGCTTGTTGGTAGGATGGCTGGTATGAATTGGGTTGATGGTGTTTGGAGTCGGGGAGGGTCGAGCACGTTGGTAGGTTGGCCAATACCAGCTCTGGCGCGTGAGTTGATGGTATTTGGAGTCGGCAATAGTGCAGCTTGTTGGCAGAATAGCCAGTACTAGCTCTGGTGTCTGGTGTCAGCTTGGGGCAGAACTAGTTGGGATGATAGTCAGTACATACCGGCTCAGATGCTTGAGTAGAGTACTGGAGGATGCAGGTGGACTTGGGAAATGATGTGAATCGGTATTGAGGGTTACCCTTGGAGTTACAATGGGTTATTTGTTTGCATTTAGGAAATTTGCACAGTCTCCGACTAACTCTTACATACCTTTTATCAGGTCCTGCCCTTCGCTGCTTCTCTCTTCCTGCCTGTCACCTGCCTTTAATCTCCATTATGACACCTCCTGCCTCCCCTTGTCATACATGCCCAAAAAACACGACACAGCGCCCTGGACTCATTCTTCTTGAAGGCCAAAAAAAAACAATGCACCAAGGCCCAGATCGCAGAAGATCTACAGCATGCGAAAGATGCGCAGGCTGTCCAGGCAGCGACTGTACAGCGTGGAATTAGCCGCATTGCTGGCATCGAGGCTGACATGCAGGCAGAGCAGTCGACTCAGGCAAGTGGAAGGGGGAAGCTGCCTGTAAAGCCCCATCCTAGACCAGTGAAGAGTAAAAAAGCAGAAGTTGTAGCAACTAATGAACTTACTTTGGAGAGTCCTATTGTGCCTGCAACACAGGTCAAGGCCAAAAGCACAGGCAAATACAGCACCATGGGTAGGGATGCTGAGGGTGTGGATGCAGGAGATGGTGAAGTGACCGGGAATGAAGTTGAGAAGTCAAAGAAGACGAGGAAGCTTAAGAAGACCAACCTCATTTCGCGCGAGGTGATCAGTGCTGCAATGAAGCATATCATCAATCAAGGGAAGGCACCTGACAGTGACAAGAAAGGAAATCTCAATCTGTCAGTCATTTCTCTTCTCTCACCATCATGATGTTAATGCTCACAGAATCCACGCTCCACTTCATGATGCTTACATGGGCGCTCAGTAGTAGAAAACTTAACATTGCTGGAAAGATCGATAACTGGCGAACTCTTGTCAAACCTCAGGAGGTAGTTCATTCCGAACTTCAAACGACCCAAAAAAATCCTGTTTTAGGGGCCGTCCAATCTGTTTCGGGCAACTCTCTGTCGGGGACAACTTTGAAAACAAGTCAGACTGCAGCAACCACGGTATCAAGTGCAAAAGAAACCCCCCCCCCCCACCTTGATCGAATCTTCAGACGGACTGGTATCAGAGGAGGACGAGGAAGAAGATGAGGAAGAGGAAGCAGATGAAGAGAAAGAGGAATTCCCAGAGCAGTTGTATGGGTTCACGGCTGACAGGAAAGATAAGGCGGCAATGCAGGTAAGTGTCAGACTTGATCCAATCATCGAAATCGCTCAATTTGGTTGTAGAGTGTTGTAGTGATCTCTGAATTTTCGGATGATGAAGTGGCCGAAGCACCGGCCATCACTCCATTCAACTTATTACCATTCACACAGCAAGCAGATATAGTAAGATTTGCTTTAGAACAACCTTGAGTTCCAATCAGTACCTCCAAAAGGAAAATTGAGGACCTCATTGGATATTACAGCTCATCCGAAGAGGACATTGCCCCTGTTGTTGTTGATGCAGATTTGGATTTGCTTTCAGCATCTGAGGTCAAGATTGAGGATGTTCCCAAGCCAGTGTGCACCACTGGCACCGCAAAGGTGAGTATTTTTAAAAATTCTGTTATATAACGACACTGAGGCGCCTGCTTATAGATGAGTGTATCGGTCTCTGTGAATCTGAACCCATCCAAGAAAGCCAAAGTCGAACCAGCTTTCCAGGACCTGTCCAAGAAGGTGAAAATGGAACCCACTTCCCGAAAGAAGGCCAAGGTCGATCTACCTTCCAAGGACACTAACATTCTGGTGCCCACAACCCCTCAGCCTGACTTAATGTTTGCGGATATGGCAACAAAGCCCAAAACTATAGGGCAATGGAGAAACACAGATCTCCTGTCGATGATGTTGGAGGACAGCGCATGGCACAGAAGTTTTATACCAACAGTCTTTCTATGGGCTGGCGTTCAGCCAAAATTTTGGACCATTGAGACTGAGCAGTTACTTCCAGCACTACAATCTATCTTTGACGTTGCTTATCCAGGAACAAATCACAATGTCCAACCAAAGGGCCCTATCATAGGCTTGGTACGTCTCACTTTTGTTTTTACATTTGAAATATTTTTTCTAATGTCATGTTATCCCAACCAAAGGTAAATCAGAGTCTATGCTCCTGGTGCAGTAACTTCAGATCTACAGCCATCACCCTTGTTACTAACTTCCTCGCGGCCTCCAAAGCTGATGAGGATGATGAGGGTGAGGACGACACCAGTGACTTTGAGCAAGTGCTGGCAACTAACCTTCTCGAGGACTATGCCTTCCTCTACGAGGATCCAGAGACCTGTGACCCAGACCAGATCTACTGGTCCATATTCATGTTGGAAATGATTGAGGCTGCCCACATTAATGCCATTGCTGGATTCCTTGATGTACCTGCACTCAACACTCATGGTTTGCATTTGATGGGAATGCAGGCTGTAATTGCTGCATGCACTGCTGCAGTAGGTCCTATCTCCAGATTCTGGCTTTTATTAACGGTCCATTTCTATAGCTCGAACGTGCCTTTTCTTTTGCCGCAAAACCAAAAACCTCTGCTGACGACCAAAGCACTACTGCCGGCAGCACAAATGGCAGCAGTAAGCCTCGCAAAATGCCCCTGAAGCGCAATAAATCCTCGGGCAAGGACAGCACTGCAGCGTCGGCCTTTTCAGAAGCGAACTGTGGGTTGGTGATGTCTGAATATTATGATTCCTTGCAGAGGCGTAGGTCGAAGTACACAATGGACATAATTGCCATGGTACGTCAGCAGCAGGCAGCATCCCCAAACACTGCTGCTGAGGAGGTGAAACCCAAGGGGGTACGTGCCCTGCTTTGTAAGTATTTTTCACTTGTCATGTGCTCTACTGACACGTCTGACAGAATGTTCTCTGTTTTTGATGCTTGTATCACTGTTTCCACTCGCTTTCCGCTGGTGGTACTACTACTACTATTACTACTAGTAGTAGTATGCTCCAGACACTTATGCACTCCAAGTTCCATCATAATGATCCCCTCCCTGTCTACTAGTAATTTGAGCCATCTTTTTCTCTACTAGTCGCACATTTTCAATACCATTCATCATTTTGGATCACTTATTTCACACTTTTGAACTACTTTTTTTTGACTTAATGCAACTTTTGATCCCTAATATCGTGCGTTTTTGAGTGGGTCTCACCAAAAAAAAGTTGACAATAAGTCAAGCATAAGTAGAACATAAGTAGAATTTGAGTAGAGAGATCTACTGAAAAAAGTTGGTTCAACTTTTTTCGACCTGACACAACTTTCCTACCAAGTCATGCAAAAAGTTGGACATAAGTAGGCAAAAAGTAAACTCATGATTTCCTGATGTAAGGCTCCAACTGTTTCAGTTTATGTCTATTTACTCCCGCCAGCATAGACAGTAAGTATGGTATATATAAACTGTTTACTAGGGTACCTGATTTTGTGACACGATGCTGAGATATTAACTACTTGGTGTCAAAAAAATATCATATGAGATGTGATTTCAGTTTGTTGACAGGACCCAAGGTGTTGAAAAAAATCCAGGCCTAAACATATCGTTCCCCCACCACACCAAGGCATGTCCAAGTGTCATAATACCAGTGAAAGTCTGGAAAAAATTTGTGTCTTCATTGAAAATCTCCCTTCACTATGTGATGCCATCCCTAACACAGTCCTAGAGGCAATAGAGGGAGACCTTATTCACTATGTTACTACAACAGTGACTGGTGAGGATCCCTGGCATACCTTTAACCATCATTTTGATATTCTCTTTGGTGAGGATTGTTGGGATGACAAGGGTTGTCTTCATCACCTTTGATGAGGACCGCTAGGCATGGGTGCCATCTGTACATATCTGAAAAGCCTCCAACTTAGTGATGTATGCTTCATGTATGAATTAATGGAGAAGAAACTTACACACCTCATTCAAGAAATCATTTACCTGCTGTATGTGTATGAGCATTGTAGCATGAGTACACTGTTTCAACTCACCTGCAGGTCTTCAGGAAACAAAACAGCAACTAACAATATGCATGGACCAAAAACACTGCCAGGACCAGCACCAAAATCTGCAACAGAACTCATGGTACTAGTGCCCACCAGAGGCACAAAACAAAACAAGAGTAAGTCAAAGCTTTTGGTTTCCTCCAGTTACAAACATTTGCTTAGCTTTGAGTGATGATGACAACGACAAAGACTACATGCCACGCAAGCCCAGACAATTGTCAGAATCACCAATTCGACAATACACTATTGATGCAGATGGACATGAGATTATTGAGTCAGGAGATGACTTACCTAGTCACAAAGTGAGCTCACACCCATATGACAATGAATCTACACTGAGAGGGATGTTCCAGAAAAAATGGAAGCTTGTGGGATCAGACTCAGAATCAGCTGCAAGTCCAAGTGTACCAGCCCCAGTTGGTAAGAAGTTATCCAAGAATCAGACAAAAGGGGGCCCAAAGCAGAAAAGAAGTAAAAAGGCTCCGAGTCACATGGCTCCAATGACACTTTCAGAACTTGTCAAAGTCCCTTCAGAAGAGGAATCTGATGGTCAGAGTGCCCTGCAGGCAGTTCAAGATGAGGAAATAAGGGTTGGTGCCAAGCGAGGGACTCAGCATCAGCAAACTACTTGGTTCTGTACAGAACTGTACAGCACGAGAGATGGACAGCTTGGTCCCTTCTGTACACTTCACTACAATAATACATCATTCTGTTAGTTCCTGTACAGACCACCACAGACACCACTGAAAATTGCATTATGTACAATATTTCGGAACTGTGACAAAAAATATCATGTGCTACTGTCCAGTAGCACATTGTCGTACTGTTCTGTCCACACATGTAAAAGATGCACACAATCACAAAAATATATTAAATCACAGATAATGTGGAAACATGGATGCAGACGCTAGCACTACTAGTAATAATGATGGATGCTCGAGAAAATGATAGTTGCAAAATAGCGGTCCAAATCCAATCAAGCACAACCTGCAAATGATGCTTTGATGTGTCCTTGCCATCGAGTTTGCAAGACTGCACCCTGCATGGATTTAATTAGTGAAGACTTCCATTTAATTATAAAAAAAACTCCTTGCCATCCTTCTGCAGCCCACTCATGAAGCTATTGTGTCAACCTAGGGCCGTGATACGCGTCCTTCAAGACATTCTTGAGTTCAGCAACCATTGTGAGGTAGACAGCGGAGTAGTCTTTGGTGGTAAACTTCAGAAAATACTTGCCACTGCCGTTCTTGACTAGCCCATCAAAGACACAATTGTACTACAAATTTGGTGTCAGCGCATTATGAGTAGGATGAAATATTAAAAAAGTACCACAGTGCAAACCAAAGCTAAAGACTGCAAAGGTAACTCCTGTTTGAAGATATCAGGTCTCCTGTGAGTGATGTGATAAGAACCAGTGTAGAAGAATGTGATGGTGGCAGCCTGGAGTGCAGGATGGGCAGCGTTATTGGTTATCCAAAGCTCATCCACACTGTTACAAAGAAACAAAGACTTGTCCAACAGTTCCGCAGCAGCATTCTCAACCCAGGCAGTGTGAGCTTGAGGAGGTACTTCAGCTGAGGGGATGAGGTTATACATGGAGGGCATGATGCTGATAGCTATCTTCTTGAGGTCAGAGCGCCAGGTTGATAAGTCTTTGTATAGCCAAATAATACTGCATGAGGATTGAGCAAGTGACAATGGGCATACTTACCAGCTTGGCCATATTGGCCTTGTGATCAGGCCATATACCTAGTCGACCTTATGAGTGAGATATCTCAGGGAAAATAAGCACATACCCACTTCAACCTCGTTACCTGCTTCAAGCCATTCTACGAGTGACGTCATGAGTGCTTCGGTGACTGAAAGAGGTAAATCCTTGACGGAGTCCAGGAATGCATTCTCAATTGCGTGCTGGGCATGACACTCTGCCTTCGCCTCCTCAAGAAAAGTCTTCCACCATGGAGGATACCAGCCGAGTTGTGTTGGCTTAGGGCCTTCGGTCGGTTCCTTAGGCTTGGCTGATTTGACCTTCTTGGCTTTAACACCTGAATTGTGTGACTTCGCATTGATGGCTTGAGTCTCCTGGCAATGGATAAGATCAAGGATTGTGGGGTCAGGGAGGTGTGGATGTCCATTTTTCTTGTGATGATGCTGTAAGACATCGTCCGGCTGGGTAGGCTTCAAGGAATGGTTAATGGACTCTGCGAAATCAGAAAGGACATACCTCATTCATAGCATCATTGCTACTGGAGGTCTCGTCGGCTGCTAATGATCCCATTGTGACATTCTCATCTTCATCTCATGAATGCTGGAATTCAAAATCAGAAGGCAGAGCGATAGCCTGAGGTTGGGGCACTGATATTCCTTCCTTTGAAAAGCCTGTAACTCATTAGTGACAGATATAATTAGTAAATGATCATGTACTGGGATGCACACTATGACACCCATGGTCTCCTCCCCAACCAATTTCTTTATCATGATCATCACTCTCTTCATCAGTGTTGCTTTCGTCAGTATCATCAGTAGGGGGAGTGTCATCCTCGGATGTTGTAACTTCAGCTTGAGCTTTCTGGCCAATTGACAGGAGGGAGGCGCCACAATAACTAGCTTTACCTTGTGATTCCTGACCGATTGGCCAGAGAGAAGGATCTATATTTGCATGGAAGTCAGCTTGTGATTGTGGCATCATGTTAACTGAAGTTGTTTTTGAAAGATCTTGTTGTGATGAAGTGTGAAAGATCTTGTTGCGATGAAGTGTGAATGCTCGTAGTAGTGAGCTTCTGACTGGTGCTCTTGGCAGTTATCAAGGAGTTGTTGAGAACTTGCTCCATGCGAGGAGGGACAATTGGTGGATAGAACCCAAACCATTCACCATATTTGCATTGTAAAAAGCTTGGTTGATTCAGTGCCTCGACGCTGGAGGCAAAGGCAGCAGCGTTCTTCATAAGAGAGTTAAAAAATGAAATAGTTTGTCTACAAAATTACAAAAAGAACCTAACCTTGGCTTTTTTGCCTTGTTTTCTTGAAGGTGGACCGCTGGAATCTACCACTAGCTGTGAGGCGCTATATGGTGGAGGAGCCTTCTACATAGTGTCATACTACTAGTTAGTAACATTGCTTATGGAGTACAACAAAAGTTACCTTTGAGTGACTCCTGCGACCTGCTGGAGCGAGAGGATTCACAGGAGCATTGGAATCAATGGTGGTTGTGCCTTTGGGTTTGGTTGCCCGCCCAGGCGCATCCAATAAGGCACCAATTCTCTCAAGTTGACTATTCCTACCCCCCTTCCCAGCACCTGCACGATTAGTATGTCGAAGGTTCGAGTTGTCAGCCACATCTAAGTCAGGGGTCGACTGTGGGGGCTTTTCTGCTAGTGATATGTCAGCCTGTGATCACAATCACTTTGCTTTCCCTTCGGGGAGTGCCTTTCCAAGATCAGAATCCACAGCTTTACACTTTGTCTTCAGTTTCTTGGGACTGCCACCACATCGTGCAGGCATAGAACTAGTAGTAGAGCTGGGAATATAACAAGAGTAGGGAGCCCCCGAGCATATAACATTCAAGAGCACTCACTTTTATCCTTGGACTTCATGTTGTAATTTAGTGGTCATTGCAGGTAATTTTTGGATGCCGAGTTGAGTTGCTTGCAGGTAATAATGTGTTAATGTGTAAGTTCAATAGATTAAAGTTTGAAACTTACTAAGTGACTCGAGAACTTGCCGAGAACTGTGGGAATCTCGCACGGATTGACTCATAGACCCTGATGTCCTGACTCGGTGTGGATGATTCTAACATATACAGTACATATGGAGACATACATTGTTGCTACTGAGTAATTATGTAGGTACAAAGTGTTTCAGAACAGAAAATCTATGGTCACAGCATACCATGTATTAATATCATGTAGATCAAATCTTGTTCCGCTTTGACGGCCTGATGAGTACTGCAGCTTCCATCATCATGTGGCCTCCAGCTGGCCTCATGTGTGCGGTCACATCATTAGGTAACTCAGTATGTCCCAGATCTACTGCACCTGCAGAATCAGGAGCATTTCCAGTTGACCGTTTTCGCTTGAGGATCATTCTGGCAAATAACAATTCAGGGGATGGTTCGTCCTTTGGAAGCTCTGCATGATGCCTATCCAACATCTCAAGCACAGCATTAAAGGATACCGAATCTGGGTTGTCGTTGTTCCTCATCAGGCCATACCATTCCTTTGCAAGTGGAATGAGACTCTTGAAGTAGGGATGGATCTGCATTTCAAGCTTCTTAATATCCTCCAAGTGGAAAAAGAACCCCATCTTGGCTTGGTCACACTCTGCGTAAGAGTCAGTGGACCATGCACGTGGTAGCCATTCGGATCTATGGTCCCTTGGCTTGAGAGTCCATTTCATCCCGAGGGGACCTCTGAATTCGATGCAGATCCAGGCAAACATGTAAAAAAGGGACTCGAGATCATCAGCAAAAGTATGTTTGATAAATGTAGTTGGTTGCGGTGTAACAATACAACAATGGCTGAGTAGAGAACTTGTAGATAAACTCTCAGCCAAATATATAATGTGTTGTGGTCTTGCACAGCCTAGTCTGCTATACTTGCAGAGCAAGTGCGTTCGACCTGAGGGGCTTGCTGTTTGGAATAGGTCTGTAGTTAGTGAATTGATATATGGTCAAAAGTCTGAGCACAGGAAACAAAGTCCAAAGGTATATTTACAATGTCCGACGCCAAAGTGTTGGGTCTGATGTTTTCGGGTTTTGGGTTAGCGGGCTTCAGGTTCAGGTTTAGCGGGTTAGCGGGAATCATGATAGCGATGACCTGCACCAAACTGGTTTGGTGCATGGACCAGTAGTACTTTCCTATGAGTCTTATACCCCAGAAATCACTATGAACATTTTTTTCTCTTGATCTGAAGTCAAACTGAGGCTCAGGGAATATTTTTCGCATTTTTTTTCATTTTATGAGTTTGTATGCGAGCAGACTGAATATTTTTGTACATTTGATTCTGCTATGAGTTTTGCTTAGTCAGCCATGAAGATGACTCAGAAAGATTCTCACACATATCAGGTGACTGTGAAAAATACGTTCGCATAAGGTTACCCTGTGGGAAAGCTTACAAATCGCTAAATACACACCCTATGTCATTATGCTACCAAATAATTTATCAGCCACAGATGTCAAACATATATGCACACATTATGTAATCATTTCTCACTCTTTTCTAGCTGAGTCATCAAGGGATCACCTGACCCATGGGCCAAGCACAGCTCTTGCTGACTCATCATTATAGTTATGAATATTTACTTTTGACTCAAAGATACTGTGTAACTTGGTACTATCAAACTAAAGTTACAACTTTAAGTGTGAGAAACTAGTAGTATAGCCACCTAATTTGTCTATATAAGGAGCTGCTTTTTGCCCAATAAAACAAGCAGTTCCCCACTGTTTTACCCTCTCAGAATAAAATTGTGCGTGAAGTGTGAATCAGCATCCAGCAAGTGTAGTTCAAGGTTGGAGCTCACTATGCTCAACAACCAGCAGCACACTTCTGAGCTCACTGTGCTGAACATCTAGCACGTACCTTGAGCTCTCTGTGTCTGATGACTAGCAAGAGTAATTCTTCTTTTTCTGTTTTTCTCTTGATTGTCTGTCTGAAATTCTTTGTTTCTTTTTGTGTCTTTGTCTGTGTCTCATTCTCTGTGATTGTGTGTCTGAGTGTCTCAGTTTCTGTGCCTGTGTGTTTGTTTTTCTCTCTCTGTCTCTCTGAGATTGTGTCTGAGATTCGTGACTGAAACTCGTGTTTCTGTTTCTTTATCTCTTTCTCTCTCTTTGTCTCAAGTGTGTTGGTGACTAACTGTGTTGGTGACTAACTGTGTTGATCATTTCTCTGATCGCTGTCTCTGTGTGTTGTGATCGTTGTTGCTAACAGTCTTTGAGAACATGTTAGTATTTCTGTTGTCGCAGTCTTGTTTGGTTGATTGTCTTGACCTATCAACTTTCTCTCAAGTACCAAAGTTTCAGTCTCATTCTTACCCAGAAGTTTGGTGTTGTCTCTTTTTGTCCACTGAAGACTTAGGATAGTCTTGTGGGGAGACTTAAGGTGTTGACGGTGATACCTGACCTCATACATCTGTATGTCATACTGATCGAGGGTAGTCATTGCAAGTTAGACTTTAGCTATTGAAAGGGGACTTTGTATTGAAGTCCAAGGTCGCCCGTTCCTGAGTCTGTTTGAATACTCATTGTGAGTTCCTTGACAGCAGGTCCAATATTAGGCCAAGAGTGCTACAGAGGTTTGACTAGGCCTGACAGTAGTTTCACCTGTTTTTGTAACTGAGGGGGACTCTCATTGTAACTCCACACAACTTGCTGCACTAAGTTTGTGTATGAATCATTGTTGCTGTGTGAAGTGTTAGGAAAAGTATCTGTGTTTTTGTTGTCATCTCTATATTGCTAGAGTGACTGTGTCTTTGATATTTTTGTTGTTGTGTTTTTGTTGTTGTTGTTATTGATCACTGTGTTTCATATCCATACTGTTGGATCAATTGTTGATTACTGACCTTTGTGCAGAACTCATTGTACTGACTGTACTTTAGGAGCATAAGAAAGCCACCCACGAATGACCACATTATCAGTCATTGGTATTTGTCTGAATCACTGACCATGGAGATATTTGGTTTTATAGGTGTTTATCTACAGATCATCTATCTAAGAAGACAGCAAATGTCGGGAAAGCAAGCGGTATGCAGATTAACAATGAAGACTGGTATTTCGGATAGAAAGAGTGGTAATATTCGCAATGTCAACTAAGAACTATGAAATATCAGGTTATGACCACAAGGTATCGGGAAACGGTGTGTGTGAGGAATGATAGCTAGATGAGAAGGGGTGAAAGGGGGAGAAAGGGTGAAGTGGGGTAAAACTCAAATAGACCTCTGGACACGAGTATAGATTCGGCCCAAGGGGATTGCTACTGAGAATGATTCCTCTAAGTAAAATATGGAGGGGAAACTTAGAAACTAGTAAGGGTAACTGAGAAATGGAAGAAGCACGCAACGTTGCGCTGATGCGACGCAAGCGCGAGTGAACCGCCGAAGGTGTGATATGATGTGCAACTGAGTGGCCGAAAGTTTGACGGTGCACAAAAGTGCAGAGGAAAGCCGAAGGTTATATGAATGCGCCCTTTAGTGGATATGTGAAGGAGATGTGATGCGATGATAGGGTGGGAGGAGAGTCTGACAATATGCGCGATGAGCGAAGTTCGAATGATTAGCACGACTGTTAATACAGCGCGTGATGTAGTCGGCCGAAGGTTTTAGATTTAGAGTCAGAGTGCTGTGTGCAAACGGATGATAATTTCGATAGTGGGAAAAGAAGATACATGAAAAATCACAAGTCCTAAGTATATATGATAGCGTGCTAAGCGCAGTTCGGATCCGAGTAGGTAGTGGTAATACATATCAAGGGTCCATAATGCAAGTAACGGAACATAAGCGATATCACTTCAGGAATATGGTCAGTCTAACATAAATGAGATAAGGTACGCACCAATGGATGAGCGAAGGACATGGATAGGATGGAGGAAGGATGCACAACGGGGCTGACGAAAAGCAGATGCGAACCGAAGCACGCGCATGAGCCACGGCCATCGGCCGACAATAGAAAAGGTGCACGCCATGGTAGTGATAGCGTGCACTGCGCTAGGACCTAAGGGACACTGCAAAAATAGCCTGTATGAGGCTACAAGGACTCTAAGTCCTACAACAGCTCCCTACTACTTGGATGATGAAAATACTCAAGGTCAGTCCAATATATATGTAAGTATGTAGAAATCTGGAAACCCGTAGGCAAAAGTAGCAGCCAAATATTTCGGATCTGAAGTACATGTAAACAAACATGAGGTACTGCGGACGATGGGAAAACATGTAATAGCGCTGGCTACAACATGAGTAATGTGCGAAATAATCAACTACACACCTAGTGGGGCTAGCAAGACATAACAGGAGACGGATAGGACAAGTGTGCAGGATTTCAGGTTGGCCAATGCGGCCAAAGTGTTGGGTCCGCTAGTCAAAGTGTCGGGTTGAGTGGGTTAGCATCAGGTTGTGATTAGTGCGTGACGGGCATTGAACGTGTATCGGGAAATCACGGGATACATGCTCAGCGCGAGCTCGAGTGCTACAGTGGTGTAGGTTTACAACTCAGAGTGGTGCTATAGGCTCCAAACTGATATCTTTATGTTGTAGGTTGTGCACTGCCTATCTGCTATACTTGTGGGACAAGTGCGTTTGACCCTAAAGGGGAAGCTAGTGCAGCAAAGGTCTAGAAATGGACGCAGAAGGTGCTGCTTGTCGGCCGATGCGAAGCGTGGGAAAGCGGCGGGTGCGCGCGCGTAGCACGGGAACGTAGCAGCGGGCGAAAGCCGAAGGCGCGGGAAAGACGTGGCTGCGAAGCGGCCAATGCATGAGGGGTTCGGATGATAATAGAGATGATAGAAAATAGAGATAGATGTAGAGCCAAGTGATAACTGATACAATGTGAGCGGTAAACGGATACTGATTACCAATAGCTACCAACTGTAGGCTAATGGGAGTTTGCTACTGGAACGTCCTGGAAAACAAGCTACTGAATGATATGTACTGCTAGTGCTTAAGTATTGCGTTAAGCGCTGTCACGCGGAACCAAGCCGACGCGCTACCGAGCTATGTATGTAAAGCTATATGTAATAAAGGTGGTCCGATGCGAAAATGGTCTGATATGTAAATATAATCATGAAACAATGTACCATTGGGTTGGTTTTGGACTATGGATGGGTGTGGAGCGTCGGCTGATGAAGTGCGAAAAAAGCGGCCGCTAAGCGCGGGAACGTTGCGGCCGCTATGCGCGACTCGCGGGAAAGCTGCGCTTCATGTAGGAAAGTAATAGGGTGCTGAGGGATACCACAAAAATAGCCTCTATGAGGCTACAAGGACTCCAAGTCCTACAGCGGTCTTGATTGTGAAGTTTTCTTCTGCACAGACACCGCAGGAATGGCATCCAAGAGTTGGTGAAGAAGCTTTTGCGACATGAATGGCACTGTGCCCTGATCATTTTTTGTAAGCAGGCATTCATCAAAAACAGAACCAGGAAGTTAAATACTAACTGTACCACCAATAGGGTAGCGATTGCCCTGAAGAATATGCATGGCAAATTCCCAGTCTATCAATGTGCCATGGGAGCCATTGCTGTTGTCCTCGATCATAGTGTTGTTAAGGCTGCAATCTCGATGCAGAATACCTCACTGTTCAACTGCTGTCTTTGGAACTGGAAAGGGGTAAGTCATAAATTTGGATATTATGGCATGGCATGTACTTACTGACAACGATATCCCAGATCACACTTACTAACTCTGCCTTTGTGCAAAACATTTGCAATGGTCGCATATGGGGCTTCAAAACTAGCCGGACATGAGTGTGGAAGGTACCTTCTGTACTCTCCATTATTGTGTAGCGATACTTCTCTGTTTCATCGACCTCCCCAGGTGCAATCTCGATGAGCCAGTATTCAATAAGCTCAGGTATGCCATAGACCCCCTTCATGTTGTTCAACATGATGACCTTGTTCAGCATGTCCTCCTTACTTCCTAGAACCCAATGATCTTTTATGATATATTCCTTGTCACCTCTCCTTGTCAAGTAGCACACAGTACCATGACTGACAAGGCCTTGGCTGGAGAATATAAGTTCCAGGATATCATAGTGGCTATTGTTGACCCAAATTTTTCCGATCGGCTCTGGAGGAGGAGATCTGCAGGAAGGGGCATAGGGAGACCTTCATGGAGGAGGTCTTCAGGATCTTCAGGTAAGGTATCTTCTTCAAACAAAACCGACGGCTCAGGACCCTCTGATATGGGACCATCTGTGCTTTCTACTGGCATACTCTCGAGGATAACAGGTGCACCACTCTGATTCTGTGGGTTGGGATCATATTCGGTGGCATTATTGGTAGCTCCAGTGGTAGGATGAGTAAAGGTAGAGGATTGTTGGAGCTGGCCAGGCTGAAGCATCTTAGTAAAGATACTAATGGTAGGATCATACCCAATGCACTTGAGGCCACAGAAAACGATGCATGAGAAGGTATGTAAGAATCTGTCCAGATCCTGGTCGATATTGATGCAAGGGGTTACAATACCACCCGAGTGGTTATACAGGTGCACATGAAGATCTCGATATCCATTGCAAACTGAGAGGAGCAAAAAAAAGCATCTCCAGGGCTGGCACCTTAAAAGAAGGTATGCCTTGCTATCAATAGTTTTTGCAATAGTAGAGGTAGGATGGTACCTTAGAAATGTCAGCTCACAGTTTTTGCATAGTAGGTAGATCAATAATTGACATACCTTTGGGATGTCAACTCGCATATCGCTTTGATCGTATCCCACCTAGCCTCCACGTCATCTAGTAAGGCTAGGTTGGGTTTGTGCTTGATTTCCTCATCCTTGACTGGGTGTGTGGAGTTCACACCGCTCCATGTGCATATCACTCCACTGGGATTGAACTTGGTGAGATTTTCATTCACTGCAGCGAGGGCAACAGCGACAGTGTTGAAAAACCCTGTGAAGTTCATTTCATCTGAGTCATTGGTTGATGATGGCACTGTGCCAACATCAGGTGAAGTCTTGCCGAAGTCTGCCAGTGAGTCCTCATATACATTGACAGTCACATCATCGTGCTCGTCATCTCCTTTGTCTTCTTCCTGTTCTTCATCCTCTTCATCGTCCTCTCTAAAGTCCTGCCCACTTTTGTCAGGTGACTTGCTAGCATGCCGCTCGCGTGTTGGAAGCGCCCAGTTCCAACAGTGATTCACAGTATCGTACAGTGACACTGACTCATTTTCACCCTTGTTGGTGAAAGTTTGATTAATCCTGGAATTATGAAGGTAGAGGGGAATTTTATTTAAAGAAACAGTAAGTGAGTTTGCAAGGGGAATTGTAGCGCTAAAGTTTCTGAATATCAAGGAAAGTACATGACTGAGGTGCCCATTATTGACAGGATCAGGTCCCTGTACAATTAAACCATCGAGTTCCCTTTCGGTGAGTACATCCATGGTAGGAACATCATTGATTTTGGGAGTAGACATCAGAGATGACAGCTTCATCCTGTAGTCTACAGACTGAGGCTGGGCACATGCACATGGCATAGTTGTAGAGAGTGAACAATGACATGCTAGCAGGCACAGCACTTCGCTGTAGCACTCAAGCTTGCGCTAGGCTCGTATTCAGCTATTTTCCAATGCATGTCAAATGCCCATCGCACACGAATCACTTCCCAATGTTATCCAACACTCACCCGCTCAATCCGATGTTTATCCACTAAACCCAATGCTAATCCGCTAATCTGACACTAATCCGACAAAACACGATGCTAGTCCGATGAAACCGACGTTTCCCACGCATCGAACCCGATATTTTCCCACGCACTTGTCCTCCCTATGTCTTGTCCTATCGTATCTATCCCCACTAGGTGCACAGTTACTTGTTTTCACATTGCTAACATCGTAGAACGCGTTATTACATGTCCGCAGTACATCATGTCTTATTACATAGGACATCGGACTCGAAAATCATCGCTACTACTTTTGCCTATAGCACTCTGAAATTCTACATAGACACTATATATTTCGCATACCTCCTACCTATTTACTTTACCTTTCTACCTCCCAGTAGGAGGAGGTCATCCAATATTTCGTAGTTCTTAGCTGAATTCCGCAATATCATCCTTTCTTTATCCGAAACACTCTGAAACACCCGACATTTGCTATATTCCTAATGCAAACCCGATGCATACCTGACACAACCCGACAAAACCCGCTAACCCAAAACCCGAAAACATCAGACCTGACATTTTTGACATCGGACTCGTAATTATACCTTCGGACTTTGTTTCCCACGCTTCGGGCTATCTCCCTTTTCATATAATTGATTATTCTAATACCATACAGCAAACCCCTCAGGTCGAACACACTTGTCTTGCAAGTATAGCGGACTAGGCTGTGCACAACCACAACATTTTTATATGGCTGGTTACTTAGTTCGTGTAGTGCCCAGCAATTGTTGTATCTCTACACCATAGTGATGAGCTTGAAATTGGAAGACACTGACCATTTCAAGGGCTAGAAATGATTCTATCTTCCCCATGCTTAATCCTGAGCGCAGAAGCCATGATGCAACTTGCCATTTTTTCTGACAGCTAAATGGATAGTAGAGGTTTGTCTTGCGATATGTACTGTTCTCGTCGGAGTCGAAGAGGCTCAAAAATGTATAGCCTTCCTCGAAGGCAAGCAGGGGATTGGGAAAATGGTCTGTTACTTCGCTGCTCTCATCCTGTGTTTTGTCCCAAGGAATACTCCCTCTGTCACTAAAGAAGTCACCAAAATCCATTGATCCCACTGGTTCATAGGACTCGGATATGTAAGGTTCAGTGTCATCTGCTTCCATGGGATGATCCTCCAGTGGGGGGCGGCTGGATTGCTCGAGCTGGATTAGGTCCTCAAGCCAGGTATTACATCCAGATAAGGGCTGACTCATATGGCGAGCGACAGATGAGTGATCTTTGAATTTATTTCTGCACGAGGGACAATAACTTGAGGCTTCAGCCTGCATGCTGAGTGCACTGAGGTTAGAAAGTCACATTATTATGTCACACTAGTATGCGTTATCACAAAGGCCCAGCATTTTCCAATAATCATTCTTCACATGACACAGAGCATGATGACTCTACAATTCTTAAGGTAGGTCTCAAGCGCATTCATCAGACCTCACGTGACAAATCATGACAATAGCGTTACAAGTAGATAAAATATACATCACAATTCAACTACGATACATATAAAAAATATTGCATTGCACAACGACACAGAAAAATAATGAAAAATTACGAGCACTTTCCATTTTCCAAGATAACAACAGGAAGAGTTGGTATGTTGAAATTTCAAGTTGGAGAGTACTTATTTGCCGAAAAGTACTGTGTATGTGCTGCAGCGGAGCTTGTAAGTAATTCTGCCATGAGCATGGCTGGGCGCAAGCGCAAAGTGATGGCCTGGATGGCCAACTTACCATGGAAGAAGAGGAGAGTCAGTACTGATTCATACAACAAGGAAAATGAGGACCAGGTAAGATCATACCTTAATCTTTGTGGAACTGACATGTATAATTTGATAGACATGCGCAGATGGTTACCATGACGTCGCATTGCCGGCAGATGCATCAAATGGCCATCTAAGTGTCAGGACATGTGCCGGAGGCACAGAATTCTGCACACCCCAACAAGTCAGACATGCTCTAGATCATTGGTTTGGAGACTTCGAAGTAGAACAGGATACTCACCATGTTGCACCTTTCTTTGGTTTCAATGATATTTCAAGTTCCTTGAGCCATAACACTCCGAAATGACAAAGTGTTACATGCGAAGATGTTACAGGAGACGAGGATGACATGATTGCCATCCAAGGTATTTGTTGGCATGAGACTGAAGGCCCGCAGCCTCTGCATGGGATTATTGAACAGATGGAAAACGAGAGGGATGTGCATATTTCAGTCAGTCAAGTTGTTATTAGTTGAGAAATGATACGCTCACTGCAAATAATAGCCCACTGCAAGTCCATCCAAGCCGTTCTCACCCTCTGCTTCTGTTGATCTTGATGGTAGACAAAATGAGATGGATGACGAGACTGATGACGAGTATGGTGGAAATAAGGAGGGCGAGAATTCAGATGTTTGAGTGGGTACCAGCTATGCAAGCCATCTACCCCCCAATGTGAATGAAGCACGAGAAGCGCTAAAGGATCTTCGTCTCCTTTTGAAGCCCCCCTGAGGTCATAAAGGATATAAGCCATCACCATTTGAAGGGATGATGAAAAGGTGTCTTGAGTTCTTGGAGATATTCCTGGATCAGTACACCAACTTTAATGACACCAAAAATACTGCCACTGGGAACTGGACAAGAGCTTCTGATGACACCGCACTATTTTTTATGAAAGGACCTTGGCTTGGTTGAAATCTTTGTTCGTGGGGCAGGGCATATATTAATGACCGTGAAGCACTTCCGACTCACAAATATGGGTTAAATGTATCACGAATCGAGGATGAGGCCCTTGCAGCAGATATCAAGACTTATCTGCAAAGTCTTGGTAAATACATATGAGCCAAAGATATTGTTGATTACCTCAAGAATGCGGACAATCAGAAGCGTCATGGTTTCTCGAAGCCAATTTCATCAGCTACAGCAAACCGATGGATGAAGAAGCTTGGTTACCGGTGGAAGATAGAGGGAAAGGGCATGTACTCAGATGGGCATGAATGGAAAGATATTGTTGAGTATCGACAAAAAGTTTTCTTGCCAGCATTGGCAAGCATTCAATCTTGTATGCGAGTTTGGAAGCAAGGAGATGTGCTGGCTGAGGATGTCAGCTTACAAACACCCAGTCGGCATGTTGTAGTCTGGTTCCACAATAAATCAACATTCTATGCCAATGATTGATGGAAGTTGATCTGGGAGCACACCTCGAAAGGGGCTGTGCCACAGCCAAAAGGGGAGGGGGTCTCTTTGATGGTTGCAGATTTTGTCTCCGCTGATTATGGGTGGCTTCGATCAAAGGATGGGACACAGTCTACATGTGTCTTCTTCAGAGCAGGCAAAGCACGTGATGGATACTACACCAATGAAGATATTTTGCAGCATGCTAAGAAGGCAATGTCAATTCTGGAAAAAGATTTTGCCGATGAAGATCATATTTTGGTTTTTGACAATGCATCAACACATCTTAAACGTCCCGATAACACTCTTTCTGCCCGACACATGCCAAAAACCCCTATCAAGGATTGGGGGATCACAGTGACAGCAAAGGATACAGATGGGAAGCCACTGCATGGCCCAGACGGCAAACAGCTAAAAATGAAGGTGCCGATGGTTCCTGGACATCTTCCAGATGGGTCCGTGCAGCCTCTGTACTTTCCTCCTGGTCATCCCAAAGCTGGCTGGTCCAAAGGAATGGCTACAATTATTCGAGAGCAAGGATTCCAAGATGAAGCTCAACTGAGATATGAGTGTCCAAGCTTCAAATGCTTGCCTGAGAAGGAAGGCAGATGTTGCTGCCATCGTTTTTTGTACAACCAGCCTGATTTTTCTGAAGGGAAGTCAGCACTGGAGCTGACTTGTCAGGCACGTGGCTTTCAGGTTTTGTTTTTGCCAAAATACCATTGCGAGCTTAATTTTATTGAGCAATGCTGGGGCAATGCAAAATGCAGATATCGTAAATTTCCGCGTTCATCAAAGGAGTCTGATTTAGAACACAATGTGATCAAGGCCCTTGACTCAGTCACACTAGAATCAATGCGCAAGTATGTTGTCTTTTGGAAACTATTTTTTGTCTTGTACTGACTAGTATCTATCATTCTACAGATATTCTATTAGATTTCAGAGGTTCATGGATGCATATCAGAAGGGTCTGAATGGACAACAGGCAGCATGGGCTGCAAAGCGCTACCACGGTCATTGTGTGCTCCCTGATGCCATCATGCATGAGTTTGATAACGAAACCATTCAAGTTTGATGGTATCAAACATATACTTACATCCTTGGCTAACAGTCCTTTACTCTAGACAGTTTATATTCACCCACTACAATACATTTTCTTTAGTGTAATTAGTTGTTACTATCACTCAGGTTTCAGACGAACAACTTCGCTGTAGGACTTGTAGTCCTGGTAGCCTCATAGAGGCTATTTTTGCAGTGTTCCTCAGGTCTTAGCGCAGTGCGCGCTATCACTACCACGGCGCGCATCCTTCCTATCGTCGGCCGACAGCCGTGTCTCACGCGCGCGCTTCGGTTCACATCCACTTTTTGTTGGTTCCGTCGCACGTCCTTCCTCTGTCCTATCCATGTCCTCCGCTTGTCCATTGGTGCGTATTTTATCTCATTCGTGTTAGACTGATTATATTTCCGAAGATGATATCACTTATGTTTCATTACTTGCATTATGGACCCTTGATACATATTACCGCTATCTTCTCGGTTCTGAACAGCGCTACATGCGCTATCATATATACTTTAGACTTATGATTTTTCATGTATCTTCTTTTTCCCGCTATCAAAATTATCATCCGTTTGCACGCAACACAATGACTCTAAGTCTAAAAACCTTCGGCTGACTTTAATGGTTGCGCTAACGTTCACGCATCGCTCATCGCATCTATCGTCAAAACTCTCCTCCCTCTTTATCATTGCGTTGCATCTCCTTCGCATATCCGCTAAAAGTGCGTTCATATAAACCGTCGGCTTTTCTCCGCGCTTTCGCACTCGGTCAAACTTTTGGTCGCTCGGTCGCACATCATATCGCACCTTCTGCAGCTCGCTCATGCTCGCATCGCATCAGCACAATGTCACGCCCTCTTCCATTCTCAGTTACTCTTACCAGTTTCTAAGTTTCCCCTCCATATTTTACTTAGAGGAATCATTCTCAGTAGCAATCCCCTTGGGCCGAATCTATACTCGTATCCAGAGGTCTATTTGAGTTTTACCCCACTTCACCCTTTCTCCCCCTTTCACCCCCTTCTCATCTAGCTATCATTCCTCACACACACCGCCTTTCGGCTTGTCCAGTATCGATTATCCTTGCAGTCGTCACAGACCTGTCACATCACGTGAGGTCTGATGAACGTGCTTGAGAACTACCTTATCTGTCAGTGCATCTGGCTCATACTTGCAAAATCATCTCCAGGCCTACCCCAACAGTGATGGAGACTCTCGCAAGCCATGTTATTCGAATCTGCACACTAGTTGTCATGGTAGTTGTTACGGTACATTCATTCTCTTCGTTTCTCCTTCATTACCGGACAATGGTACATGGACACGGCTCTTAACGAGCGACCAATTACCTTTCAAACTCTTACTCACATCGTTGCTAAGCTAGCTTTCCGTGCTAGCAACCATCACTATGTCTAGATCATCCCTTATCAAAGCGGGCTGTCCGCACCATGGTTACTATCTCTTATCTCATATCTCTTATCATTTACCAAGTGGGCTGTCCACCTTCTATCTTGATACGCATTTACAAGCTCCGCTTGAACTCTCGCTATATAGACACATAGCGTACCACATGTAGCTCCTCACTTTAATCTACTGGGTTTTACCTGGAACCAAGTCCTTTAGCAAGGTCTCCAACCTTGCTATCTAAGAACCACTATTCTAAGGAAGTCGCCGATACTTGCCTTAGCCAGAAACCTTTGACCTCTCACTCGAGAGAAGAACCACGTCTGTCTCGCCGAATCTCAGTCCACTCGGACTTAGACAGCTCGACATACCCCAGTCGTAACAAAAGATTAAAGTCCTTTTTTTAGACGCCGCCATCTGCGACGTCAGCAAGACATCACGACTTCGTTAACTCCTTTGATCGGAGCTTTGAACCTAGGCGCGCTACCGCCGATACCACCGTTGAATCCAATGGCAAACACTACCAAAGAAACAGAAATTAAGATCGGTACTCCACCCGAATTCGACGGAGACCGCGATGAATCGCACAGGTTCATGCTGAACTGTAATGCGTACCTAGATATCAACGAGAAAATCTATGACAACGACAAGAAAAGAGTAATCTTCGCACTCTCGTTTATGACCAAGGGCAATGCTGCCGCTTGGAAAGAAGACTTCATGGAGACCGCTCAGAACGCCAAATTAAAGAATACCGCCGGAAATCTCATTGGATATGGTACCTGGGACGATTTCAAAGTCTCATTCAAAGAAGCCTTTGGAGCCATAGACCCCAAAGGAACGGCCATGGCTAAAGTACGAGCCCTTGAAATGAAAGGGGACCTCCATACGTATATCTCCAACTACCGCCTCCTAGCCCATAAAGCAGGAATAACCGAGAACGTCACCAGAGTAGAGTTCTTCCGCGAAGGTCTTGACGTAGGACTCCGCAACAACCTCTACCACACCGGAGAAAGTCTAGACGACTTTGAGACCGTCGTTGCGACGTGCATCAACCTAGATAATGCCTTCCAGAGGTTGAGAGCCATACAGAAACGAGAGAGCCCTGCGCACTACCAGCACAAGAAGAAGAAGTACGGAGACCGTCACTTCACCCCCCGCAGAAGCGACGCTATGGAGATAGACCAACTCTCCGAATCCGAAGTAAAAAGACACCTCAAAGAAGGACGTTGCTTCAAGTGCCACCAGACAGGCCATCGTGCCAATGATACCACATTCCACCCCAGGGAAGATAAGAAGCAGAAGATGCCTATCCGCAGAAAGATTGAGAAAGAAGAGAGTAGTGACGACGACGAAGAGGTAAACCGACGATTCGTGGAGATGGATTTTTAAAGAAGGAGACTGCATCGATGTCAGTACCTCCTGTCCCAATACGACTTGTACAATCACTTGGAAATAAAAAGGAGCTTCGTGTCCCAGCCACTATTATTTCCACCAAGCGTAACAAAACCATCGAAACCTCTATGGTCGTTGACTCCGGAGCCAGTGGAACCTTCATTAGCGAGGAATTCTGCAAACTCCACGGAATCAAGACCCATAAACTCTCGAAACCATTTCCCGTTATAACCGCAGACGGATCCGATGCTAGGGGAGGACTCATCTCTCGCTACTGCGTCCTTATTGTCAAAATTGACGGAAGAACCATGATAGGGAAATTCAACATAACCAAGCTCTCGAAGAAAGATAAAATCTTACTCGGATTCCCATGGTTGAAAGCACTAAACCCGTCAATC